GTGCGTAGGCCAAAGTTTATAGGAGGGTAAACATGAGCAACGCTTCTCTTTTGTTAATTCAGGTCATGCCGTCTGGGGTCAAGCACTGCGGCAGCTACTGCTGCGTTGCGTTGCGTAATAACAACGGCCGAACAGGGAAGAGAGCGTGGGCTTCGTTCTTCGAGATTCCGCGAGACCACAGGTAGCCCTTTACACCTTTCACAATATGTAATTTTGTAGTTCTACTTGTCATTGGCTAACTATCAAAGTAACACCAGTTTCTTTCGCGCTTAGATAATAAGAGTGGTTTAAAGCCCGCGCGCATTTTTCCTTCATTATCTTTCAATTGTAAGTATATGCTCTTTATTGTTTGAAAGTTGGAGCCTTTTTTCTTTTTCTCCACGGGGTTGTGTTTGCACCGGCTCCACTTGATAGTGAGGCTTCCCAATTCCATTCATGCAGGAGGAAGTTGGCTTGTATTAGTGCGGTACACATAAGAAGGAAAAGACGCAGGCGTAAAGAAAGGCAGGCGATAAACTTCACCCAATTCATGCCCTTCACATCCATCTTATACTTGAAGCTGTGTGATGACTTGCAGCTACAGGGCAGTGCTGGCGTTCAGTTGGGTTCGGTGTTTTCAATCATGGGTGCGCTTTGCAGGTGGATTTTTCTCCTGAGCACAACTCCCAAAACCCTTCCAGCGCAAAGATCTGGTTGCAGTACGCTGGTCGTCAAGACCTGCTTTCTAAGGCAATCCCACAGCTGAATGCTAACTACCGCCTGTGCAGTGAGCACTTCGAGCAGCGTTGCTTCATGGATCCTGGACGCACAGAGCTAAAGAAAACTGCAATTGCTTCTGCCCTCCCCCCCCATACTGACATGGTGGCAGATGATGATAGCGCAAGGTAAACTGCTTAAGCATGTGTTTGCACACAACTGTCCAAAGTTGTCTTTCTTACAGACATTTGAAGCTTGTACACGGGGTCCTAACTTTTTCTTAGGTAATGCAGTCCAATCCTTGCGTAGAAATGTACATACACCTTCTGGTAGTAAGTTATACAGCTTGGATGATGTTTAGGGCAACGGGAACTATCAAAACAATCACACTACTAATGCAATCTCAAGCATTACTAAATCCTCAGAACACTTGGGGTCTGGATATCATACCCAGTGCGCAAGTTCTTGGAATATGCCCCGACTGTTTCACCTTTTCTCTTAAGCAAAGCTGTTTAAGGCGGCCGTTGGTTGCGATTCGTCAACAGAAAGCTATCATCTTCACGATCCGACATGCGCTGGTGTTCGTCCCCCTCTTCCTTTTCGCGCTCTTGTGGTTCGCTCACAGAAAACGAGCGCGGATTTCCCCGGTGCACGTGTAAAAGAAAAAGTGATATATGTATATATATATCTATATATATATAAGCTCACGTGTTTTGACGACATGGCACAGGCTGCCCCGCCATTAGTGGCTAGGGTACTCGGCTGCTGACCCGCAGGTCGCGGGATCGAATCCCGGCTGTGGCGGCTGCATTTCAGATGGAGGTGCAAATGTTTGGGTGTACGTTAAATAACCCCAGGTGGTCGAAATTTCCCGAGCCCTCCACTACGGCGTCTCTCATAATGATATGGTGGTTTCGGGACGTTAAACTCCACAAATCAATCAATCAACGTCACACAAGCTCATAAGCAGTGCGCCACACCCACCGTCATGGCTACTGAGGGCACTGACTGACACTCCCACGTTAAAATTCACATATATACCCTATGAAGTGGCCGGGAAGATGGCCGCCGTGGTAGCTCAGTGGTAGAGCATCGAACGCGTTATTTGAAGGTCACAGGTTCGGTTCCTGCTGACGGCAAGTAATCTTTTCCCCCAATTTTCTTCCTTCACATTTACATTACAATTTGGTCTAATAAGTTCCCCTATACTTCTTTCCTTACCATTCTTGTCAGATCTTATTACTATTGTGTCGAAACACAGAAGAACGAGCCCATAAGTATATACTTTTTTCACACACACACACACACACACACACACACACACACACACACACACACAATATATATATATATATATTATATATATATATATATATATATATATATATATATATATATATATATATATATATATATATATATATATATATATATATATATACACATATATATATAATATATATATATATATATATATATATATATATATATATATATATATATATAGATATATATATATATATATATATATACACATATATATATAATATATATATATATATATATACTATATATATAAGAGAGTGAAAGTGTGAGATGTTCTTGGCGGAAAGATAACGTGGCAAGGTGGGATTCCAACTAGCTTAGCCCCAGTTCGATTACGAGCATTGCAAACTCTGCTATCCAGGTATGCGATAGCAGAGCATAGCATATCACAACCATGAGCAGTATACATATAGTACAGCAAGGGGATGGGAAAGTAGGTGGAAGATGAGAGATGTGAGTGTGAGGTGCAGAAAAAATCTTCGGAAGGGTATAAAATACCGTAAAATGAAACAAAGAAAGAGAAGAGAGATAGAAGGAGAGAATATAAGAAAGAGAGGAAAGAGATTGAAAGAAATAGAAAGAGAGATATAGAAAAAGGAGCAAAAATATAGAAAGAAAAAGAAAGCGAGAAATAAGAGGGGAGAAATAGAAAGAGAGGGAGATGGAGAAAGACAAAAGAAGGCATACAAAGCGAGAAAGACAGAAAAAGAGCTAGGCAGAGGAAAAAGGAAATGGAAACAAAGAGAGGAAAGAAGGCGCATAGAAAGAGATAAGTAAATAACGTGGCTGATCGGCCTATATAGGAATTGGTATAACACAAAAGTTAAACGTGCCTTTACAGATTTAGTTCAGCGTTGATTGTGCACTGTTTCAGCAACAGTAACAAATAGCAAAATCACGTTACGAATTGCAAGCAGCTTAAAACTTGCAGCTCACACCTCAAGCAAAACGCACGCACAAATACTGCATTACACAGGACGAGCGCTGACTAACAACTGCCACTGCTCGACGCTTAAATCGCGCTGTCCAAGCAGAAAAAAAGACACACGAAACGAGCGCACAAGTATTCACAGGACAACTGTCACAATTTCACCTGCGTCGTTGGTCAGCAGCGCACTCCTTTTGTGAACGCGGCCGTGGGAGCGTGCGAAGATACCTTCGTCCTCTCCCGAAAGTCTGATAAGCGCGCGCGCATGCAGAAGAGGCCACGCTCCGCGGAGGCGGCGACATTAAGAGGGGGAGGAGAAGGAATAAGCTTTATTATTCAGAAAGTGGCGGGGAAAAGGGCAAACCTAGTTTGACCGGTGCTAGGTTGGGGGCTTAAGGGGCCGCCACACTAGCAGACCAGTCTGCCAGCTTGGCCTGTATCTGCCAATTCGGGCTCCTTAAGAACCTCTCCCAGAGCTCGTCGAACGCAAGCCTGTCGCGCCATCTCGCCACTGATAACGAAAACGCACTAAAAATTGAAGGCTCGGGGGACTGCCAAACGATGTATGGTGTATATAAGTGGCTTGACGTTAGCACTCCAAACAACGTGTGTTACGTGGCGAAGTGGTTGGTGCCACTGGTTGGGAATCAAGAGGGGGCTTGGTTCGATCCAACGCGTGACGAATGCCTGCCTTTTCTAGTTTTTTTTTTCTTGTTCGCAATCTCTAGTATATAATTTTTCAACGTCACTTCCGCGAGGAAAGTGCGTCAGCGGAGCAGTGGTGGACCCCGGCATTAAAAAACACAGAGAAAGATGGGAAAAGGGAAAATAAGCAGAATCAGCAAAATCCGTCCAGTTCCTGTGTTCCACCAGGCTTCACACCGCTTCTGCGACGTAGCCTTAATTTCTTTCTTCAAGAACATGACTCGTCTCTTGAACGTTCCACGATACCGTTCACTCTAACGTGGGCCTTACCTGTTAGGCATGATATGATGCTGTCACAAGTTGACGCACCTTATCATTTCGTCTAATCACTTCTGGATATGTTTGTAATGCATAATGCAATCGAACTAATCAAAACAAGCGTATTGTTCTCATTTTGTTTGTGATAATTTGTTTATTTGTTTCTCTATTACTCTGTTTTGAACATGGTATGGGAAACTGACCGTGGGATGAGCCGTGGGACAGCAGACGAACGCTGCGAAATATAAAGCAAACGACGCTTCCCGCCGCGGTCGTCTGCTACAAAGGCACGAACACGTCCCTCACGTCTTTCGCCGTTCTATAAAAGCAGCCGGGCATAAGAAAAGTCACACGCCAGAGAACAATAGAATGACTGCCCTCCGTGTACGGTTTAACTACCTCTTTCCCGCCAGGAACCGTCCGAGAGGTCCGAGTTTTGAAGTAAAGAACTACAGTGGGTGCATAAGTTGATTGGACAAGGTTCTCAGGCGGAACAAAAGCGCGAGCAGACGACGCACTCACGTTCTCGCACGCTCAAACAAAAGCGGCGCGGCGCAAAACAAAACAGCGCGCGTAATAAAACCTCAGCTGCAAATACACCACTCTCTCACACCCTGCCAAACTTGTTTGCGCCATCTGTTACTTAATAAAAAATTTTCTAAACTTATTTTGTAATAAACTTTTAGTATATAACTAATTTTATTGTCAAAAGATGGCGCAACAATGAAAGCGTTCCAAATTTGGCAGCGGCAAGTTGGTTCACGTTTTTAGAACGTTTCAGCTTTTCACTGAAGCTTTGCAACTTACAAGTCTGATGGTCATATTTTTTTGTACATTGACTTACTTCAGCGCCCTCGTTTGTGATACAACAATCACAATACCACATAATCTTGTAGCAATCATAAGCGTAAATAGTTACATTTAAAAAGAATAGATGGCGCTAAAATCGTTTAATGCCAAAAACAGTGTGAAATTTGGTTTGTTTTTTGAAAACATTTTGTTTCTTCAACACTGCGTTCTGATGTGCACAAACAGCGACGAGCAGCTGGTGAAAGGGTGTCACATCAAACGAGAGAAAAGAACAAACGATGGCGGAGTGGCGACGGACGGCAACCTCCCGACTTTCGGAAGGTGGCGAAGACGCGAAAGAACGTCCTTCGCCGGCCGCTGTTTGCTGAAAACACGGCGTGATGTGCAAAGGAGTGCGGATGAACACACGGAGGTGTGGAGTACTGCCGTCCTTGTAGCATAAACAAAAGCATGGGCCAAGGTAACAGCAACGCGACGCTCAGGTGAGTTCGTCCGCGCCTCTTTTCGAATTGTACTGTCGGCGTCTGAATGCGAACTCGTTGTGAATTACACGTTTAACGACATGCCACGCCTATACGAGAAAGATGTATCCGCGTCATGTGAGTGGCGTTTCCATGAGGGCGAATCCTTTTCGTCAATTGGTTTCGCATCGATGGGTGATCGAACTGCGTGGGAACACGCTGTTTGTTGAAGGCGAAAAAAAAAAAAAGAAGATGAGGAAAGAACCGAAAACTAGTCGCGCCTGAGGGGGGGCGTGGATCGGGCGACACGAGATTGGAGGAAGTGATGAGCGTGCACTATGGTACCAGCACGTAGGACCCGTGTTTTAGTTTGGTCAAACGTGTTTACAGTGATACAGAGTTAGGGATGGTTCTAAAGGAAAGGCTGTTTGTGCTTAATTTTGCTTTTAACTTCTCATTCGCGTATATCAGCGAATCGTACATGAGCGCGGTGGCGAAGCGCGCGGATCTAATGGGATTCGGTAGTAGTGATGACTTCTCTCTTGCGTAGCAGACGACGCACGCTCAAACATGGCTGCACCGCGGATACGTCGTCTGCTGGCGTCGTAGCAGAAGTCGACGGCGTCTCCGGAGTGGGCCAAAACGCTTATTTGTATAAACGTTTCGCGTAGTTTTATCGCGCTAAGTGACGTCACTGGCGAGCGACCAAAAAAAAAAATCAAATCCAGTGGCTTGAATGCATCCGCGTGTAAAGATGCTTATGTGCGCTGAAATGTCTCTGAAGAAAGCGCTTGTTTTAGGGGCAAAGCTTCTTATAACGGGACACAGATGAGGAGTCTGCTACAGAAACCACTCAAATGGACGTTCAGACCTGGTTACCGCAGGGTTCGTCCGAAGAAGTCGACAATGTGTCTGCAGGGGAACGCCACGATGGTGCCGCATGGACGGAGGATGGCTGGCACACGGTTTTGACACGCCGGCAAAAGAAGAACCAGAAGAAAAACCAGAAAAACGCGTCAGAAGCTGTGGAGTGCAACGCCTCGTCAAGCAGCCCACCGAAGCAGGGAAGTCAGGTGAAGCGCCGACGTCGTACGAGAAGTCGCCGTCCGCTCCCGCCCCTGCCAAAGGACGACATAAAGATCATCCTTAGGCCTCACAAAGGCCTCGCCGTAAAAGACATACTCGGCTATGAACTTTCCACCGCTGTGATAGACGCTTGCCACCGACACTTCGACGGTGGTAGCTTCATGCTGCGCGTCCACCCGGGCTCGAATATTATCATCGTATCGACGCCCCACGAGCATGTAGCCAAAGAGCTGCGAGAGATCACGCATCTGAATATCAGGGGACGAGTGCACTCATTCAACTCGTATGTGGCGGATCCTGAGGACGTCCTACGAGGCATAGTCCATGGTATTCCGTCGGGGACTTCTCAAGCAGAACTCATGGCGAATCTCCGTGTGAGAACACAGGGGGTCAAGATTGAGCGGGCACGCATGCTCGGATCTACGAAGACCGCCATCATTACCTTCACGGGCAGCACACTGCCTAGGTGCGTCTATTTCATGGGAGCGGAAGCCATCTGTTATCCCCACAAGCCTACGAGGCAGGCTTGCAAGGTATGCCACTCCACAGGGCATCGAACTGACGTGTGCCCAACGCCCGACGCCAATGTATGCTCCACGTGTGGAACACGTGAACCCGCACAAGGACACGCGTGTACCCCTAAGTGCGTGATATGTGGTGAGGACCATATGACAGGTGACAAAATGTGCAAGAAGAAGCTTAAACACGTTCCGCCTAGGAGGTCCCGAGTGGATCAGCCAAAACGGAGGCACCATCCACGCTGGTTCAGCTCCGAGCGGGACTCGTCAGTGGAATCACGCTCACGTTCAAGATCCAAGTCACGGGCTTCCTCAAAGGGTCGAGCCCAGTCTGCGTCCAGAAAACGACTCAACAAACAGCCGCATCAGCAGCAGCACCAACAGCAGCAACAGCAGCAGCAACAACAACAGCAGCAGCAGCAGCAACAGCAGCAACAGCAACAGCAACAGCAGCAGCAGCAACAGCAGCAGCATCAGCAGCAGAAGAAGAAAGCGCTGGTACAAATCTTGACGCCGCCCAAAGAGGGGACGGAGGCAGCCGCCTGCCAGCCAGCAAACACGGTGAGCTGGACGAGGATTGTGTCTCCATCTGCTCCCTTAATTGAGAATCCCGAATATCAGAAAATGGTTGCCGAGAATAAGCAGCTTGCTTTAGAAAACGAGAAACTTCGATGCCAGATTAAGGAGGAACGCCGGGAGTTCCACAAAATCATATCATCTTTAGAAACCAAACTTGAAGCCAGGCTTAACGCCTTAGAGGCGAACAACAACGCCACTCATGCTATCTCCAGGGCAACCGTAGCCCACTCTTTGGAGGGAGGAACGGCGAAAGTAGACATACCTCAGAGGTTTAGCGAGGAGGCCCACGTTAGCCAGTTACAGATGGGGGAACAGTTGCAGAGCTTGCGAAACTTAATGCGAGAACTCCAATCACAACAGCAACGAGCAGCGTCTGAACTCCGAGAGCAGATGATGCAGCAAATGCATCAAATGTTTTCGGAGTACAGGAAAGAGTTTGCAGCAGAAACGGAACAACAAAGACGATACGTTAATGACTCAGTTGTAGGCATTCAACGTGCCATCAACAAGCGGGTCAGTGTTACCTCCGCGAGCAGTCCACTACCGAAGGACCGTCGAATCACGGAGAAAGCAGACACCCCCCAATAAAGGCAGTAGTCACCATGGCGCGAACTAATTCCACGCAAAACTCCGACCACCTAGAAATCTGGCAGTGGAATTGTCGCACGTTCCACAAACGAGCGGCGGCATTGCAGAATTACATCCATTCGGCACTAATCCCACCTGATGTAATATGCCTGCAAGAAGTTGGGAACCGTCCCGTCAAATTGCAGGGATATTACACATTATACGATCCAAAATACCCCCGCGTTGCAGCGCTGGTGAGTAACTTCATGACAGTTGCGCTAGACCATTACGATCAGACTGACATTAATCACCAAATTATCGATGTCTTCCCACAAAAAAGAGGAAAAGTACGAACGAAAATTTTAAACATATACAGTCCTCCCAAAAACCGGAATGACGACTTCGGCCCACTCCTAAACGAGGCAGTTCGAGCCGTTGGCACCAGAGATCAATTAGTGGTGGTGGGCGACTTTAATGCTCCGAGCACCGCTTGGGGCTACGTCCGGGATTCACCCAAGGGAGTGTTATTAGAGAACACCACGTCTAAATTAGGTTTTACCCTTATCACTCTGCCAACAGCACCCACCAGGCTTGGTAATAGCATTAGCAGGGACACGTACCCTGATTTGACCTTCACCTTCAACATTAAAAATGCCACGTGGTCAAACCTCGATGAAAACCTTGGTAGTGACCATTATATTCTTAGCACCTCTATAGCATCACCAAAAGTTCGTCGTGTCGCTGGTGACGTTGTGATGACAGACTGGGTGACCTTTCGAAAGCGCCCTCTGCCGGAGCAAACGCCCTGTGATGTCAGTGGGTGGGTTGCTTTCATTCGAGAAACGCATGATGCCACCTCTAAGAAAATAGCGCGCACAGTTGAGGCGCCTGCGATAGACCGGCACCTATTGCACATGTGGGATAGTAGGCGACGCCTGATCAAGAGATGGAAAAAACAACGCCTCAACCGCTGCCTCTACAGGCGAATCGCTGCTCTGTCGGAGGAAGCGAATGAATACGCAACGAAACTTGCCACCGATGGTTGGGTGCAGTTTTGCGGTTCTCTCCGCGGTACACTAGGGACTAGCCAGACGTGGGCGATACTGAGGTCCATGCTGGAGCCGGACAAATCTAAGTCCTCCATGACCCGCATTCTTCAAAGAATAGTACACAGCTACCCCGGCACCGACGGAGAGTTGATCCAGGCGCTTAAAGACCGTTATATCGGTACTGATGTGGTTCCGCCATGTACATTAGAGTACATCGGCAGCGAGAATGCCACATTAGACGCCGCAATCACGAAAGAAGAGGTTTTCGCGGCAGCCCAGGCAGCCAATCGGAACTCTGCGCCGGGGTCGGATGGTATAACAAACGCTATGATAAGAAACCTCAGCACTGAGGTTCTTGAGCAGATAACGCAATTTCTTAACGACCACTGCTGGTCCCAAGGTCACGTTCCTCCGGAGTGGAAGGAAGCCAAAATAATAACTATACCAAAGCCCGGTAAAGCACCATCGCTCGGAGCCCTGCGGCCCATTTCGCTTACTTCGTGCATGGGCAAGCTCTACGAGCGAGTAATACAGACACGGCTTCAAAATTACATTGAAAAAGAAAATCTGTTTCCCGCTACCATGATTGGTTTTCGCTCCGGACTCTCAACCCAGGATGCCTTCCTCCTTTTAAAAGAAGAGGTCATGAGTTGCGTACCCAGGGGAGGCGAACATTTGGTCTTGGCCCTCGACCTCAAAGGGGCCTTTGATAATGTTTCGCACGAGGCCATTCTCTCTGAACTCAACACAATCGGCTGCGGAAAGCGTACATTTAACTACATTAAATCCTTCCTCTCTGGGCGGACGGCAACTATTGGGATAGGCGACACGAGGTCGGTGCCGTTCTCGATGCCAAATAAAGGCACACCGCAAGGGGCAGTCATCTCCCCCTTGCTCTTTAACATAGCTATGCGCAGACTTGCTCACGAGCTCGAAGCAATCCCGCACCTTGGATATACATTGTATGCGGACGACATCACACTCTGGGCTACGAAGGGTTCACTGGCGCTGAAAGAGCAGACCCTCCAGGCTGCTGCGACAGCTGTGGCAGAGTTCGCAAGAAATAGTGGGCTGAGCTGTGCGCCTGAAAAATCTGAACTCATAAGAATACACAGTAAGTATTACAAAAGTAACGGTGCCATACACTTACAGGTAGACGGCCATGCCATAGCCGAGGTTACTCAGGCCCGTATACTTGGCTTCTGGGTCCAAAGCAATGGCAAAGCCAGTCACACGATAACCACCTTAAAGACTACGGTTAAACAGATAGCTAGAATGATCCGTCGCATCACTTATCATAAAAAAGGCATGAAAGAAAAGGATACTCTCCGGCTTGTCCAGGCCTTAGTTTTGAGCAGAGTGACGTATGGCCTACCGTACCACTCACTCGACAGAAGTGAGGAGAGCCAGGTGGATGTGCTCATTAGAAGCGCTTTTAAGGCAGCACTTGGTCTACCCACCAGCACACCGACCGAGCGGCTCCTAGCTCTCGGTATACATAACACTTATGCTGAGCTCAGTGCCGCAGTCCTCATGTCTCAGAGGAATCGTCTAAGTGAAACTTCAGCAGGCAGGGCGATACTCACTAGAATAGGAATTTCGCCCCACCCACAGCACATTGATGAGGAGCTGGTCGACGTAGCCCAAGAGGTCCGCAGGCGAATCTCAATCGCACCGGTGCCCAAAAATATGCATCACGACTTTCACGCTGAGCGACGTACTGCGAGGGTAAACTGGCTTCGAAAGCAATTCGGCTCAGCTTCAAATGTCGCGTACGTCGATGCGGCCAGTTTCGATTGGCAGAGACACATAATTACTGTTGTCGACAACAACATGACGCTGCTAACGAGTGCCTCCGTACGCACGACCTCGGCTACAAAGGCGGAGACGATGGCCATAGCCTTAGCCTTAAGGTTTCAGGAGCGTAGAGGGGAGCCATCAGTTATTTTATCCGACTCCCAGGAAGCCTGCCGGCTCTTTTTAAGGGGCCGCCTTCCAGCAATGGGGCTGAGGTTGCTAGGATCCAAACTCACTCACCACCATCGCTTGATCTGGTGCCCGGGACACGCAGGTCTCGAAGGCAATGAAAGGGCGGACGCTCTAGCTCGTGCGTTTTGTAACCGAGCGGAGAATCCATCTCTTTCATTGACCATGCCAATTTTACCTAGGGAGATTCTAGCTCACCAGCGCTTCACGCGTCAAAAATGTGGAACACCTCACAGATCCCTTAATGGGGAAGAGGCCACTGACCTTAGAAAAATTCAAACGGATGTATTTCCGCACCTACTGAAGTTACACGCGATACATCCAACTCTTTACCCGGCTGTATGTCCGTGGTGCGGCGGAAGACCGACTCTCTACCACATATCGTGGGGGTGCGATCGTAAACCAAGTGACATAACCAATTTTCTCGGCGAACCTTTAACACCTAGTATGGAGCAGTGGGAGGCACACCTCGCTAGCTCGGACCCAGGAGTGCAGCTCGCACTACTGGATCAAGTCCGGCGGGCGGCTAAGGCCAGTGGAGCCCTGGACGTAGGGCCCCAACCATAAAGGCTCTAAAACGCCCCTCTCCCTTTCCCCTTCAATAAAGTTTTACTCTCTCTCTCTCTCTTATAACGGCACCCGTTCGTCCCCCGTAGTATGTAACAAGTATAACATTTTGACCTCCAAGGTGGTGCCGGTGAGAGACTTCTTTTGTGCGTTGTTCAACAATAAAAAATAATGCTTAATGTACATGTCAATGGCTGCTAATGGGGAATGAGAGAGAGAGGAGCATTTGGCTTTTAGTTAACGCGCAGGCTGCGATCACCATTAGCAGCCATTGGCATGTACATTGAGCACTATCTGACAAGAAACGGTTGCTACGTTATACTCGCTGGGTGTAACCTCCTTAGCTTTAGAAAGGTTTAGCGAGCGTTGAGCCGCAGTGCCATGAATACAATGAACTTGTATATACCATGAATGAACTCGAGGTCGTTAAAAATTGGAACTAGATACGAAGCGCAAGCCGTAAGAAAGTAAAAGCCCAATTCTCCGCCTCTCATTTCTCATTAGCAGCCATTGGCATGTAAATTGAGCCCTATCTGACAGGGAAAGGTTGCTACGTTATACTCGCTGGGCGTAACCTCCTTGGTTTTCGAAAGGTTTAGCGAGCGTTGATGGACGCATGGACGGTCACACTGACGGACGCATGGATGGACGGAAGCAAGAACGAATGGAAGGACGAATTTTTCGCCCCACTCTCCATAATTCACTCCGTGGATATGCTGCCATTTTTTTTTTCGCCCTAAAGAGGAAGAAATCTCTTTCACACGCACCCCAGGCATGGATTCACCTTCCACATTAATATTAATACGGTACCTCTGGGGCCTGGAATTAAACAATCGAACTCTTGTGCAGCATTCTAAATTAAAAGTAACACGCACCAAGCAGGATGTCTCAAGAGCGCTTTGTCTGATTTGTGAGTTGTTGAAGAATTATTGAAATATTGCGAGAAAAACTACACGATTGGCCGGAGTGACTAGCAGAGCTACGTCCGGTGAAGTATACTTCAAAACTGCGTTATAATGTGGGTACTCATTGTACCCACAATATTCTCTGTGCTGGTGCCACGTTTCATCGCTGACTGCACTGCTCTCTTCAGAGAAGGTCTTCTTGACGGAACTCATGAGTTGTTTGATATGCGTAATATAGGAGTTTGCCTTGTAGTCATTCTTCCTCTCCGGGCGTCTCAAGTGCAGGCCCTGGCTGACGTACCAAAAAGCCTTGCTAGGTATTATTTGTGTCATCATCAGTTTATCCTGCTCATGTGGCTGTCGGTTGACACACAAGAGCCACTGGAACTCATCTCTGTCTTTCGGGGGGGTGTCCTCAGCTTTCACTATGTCATTCTTCTTTGCCTTGTAGCAGACCCAGCTGCAGTTGCTGGGTCGGCGACGTAGTATCTTGTAACAATGGAGTCGGCTCAAACGGAAGGTGGCTGGGCTCACTCGAAAACACTGCTTAAAATGGGTGTCGCCTAATAACGGCAATGTGTCTTCGAACCAGCGTTTTTTGCGCACATAGGCCCAACTTTCGCGGTTGATGACTCGGGGGGACAGTGCGGAAGCAGTCAAAATGAAGCTGTTCATGACGAGTCTTTGTTTGAGGCTCATCACTCTTGCATTCGCAGCGTTTAGCTCATCTTCGATGGAGCCGAGGGCGACAAGAGTCAGGCCCACCTCAACTGCTTTATCTCTGTCTCTGTGCTGAGACATCGCAGGACCACGATGAAACGCGGCACGCCGTCACTTACCCAGCTGGACGCAGCCATGTAAAAAGCATGACAAAACCAAAAACAGCAAAACACCGACTGTTCATAGTTGCCAGACGAACTTAAGTTGCTGCTAAAAACGCAAAAAATCGAAAGAAAATTACAGGTATGCGCATTATAAGCCACCAGACAATAAAAAACGGTTTTATGCTCCGGCGTCGCTGAATGTGCTGTACATGCACAGATTCTTTTTAATATTTCCAATTTCGCTGCTTCCACAAACAGCGCGGTTTTTTCTGCAGCGTTCTTCAGAGGCACCGCCTAAAGCAGTAGTCCGGTGCCGTGTGTCATCAGCGCCACTCCTTTCTGCAAATGGTCCCCTTAGGTGACAAAGGGGGTTTACTTCAAAGTACTTTACTTTTGCCCGTGTGTCACGGGTATTAGTCTAGAATTTTGTCTTTCTGCATGAAAAAAAAAATTGGTTACCGACAGTCTGGTGTTGTCGTTCCGTTCTCACTCCTCTAGCGCTACGGTCTCTTTTTTTTTCTTTACAAAGGCATTATAATCTCTTTTTTTGTCTTTTTTGTTTGATATTTGCACCTTGGAACTTTCACTGCGTAACCGCGACTGTAATAGGGCCGAATGCGTCCGTTAACATTTTCTATCCCTCTTTGATGCTTCCAGGGAACTGTGGATGGCCTCGCTGTGCGCCCTGGCGCTGTCCACGTCGTCTCCGGTGCTGTGGAACGTGGAAATACCGAGTCCTCCAACCAGGAGCGACTTTGGATCATGCGAGCCCGTCGCTGGCCGCCGACCGAAGATGTACGGACCGTCGCTGCCGTCATCCGGCGATCTAGTCATCAACGTGACCCTGCTTCTGCCTGCGCTTCACCAGGGAGTGAGGGAGAGCGTGAAGTACCTGCAAAAACACGGTGAGAGAATCTGGACTACATTAATGAGTGAGTGAGTCGGTCGGTTGGTTGGTCGGTCAGTCAGTAAGGCTGACTGCTTGAGTGAGTATATCCCTTATGACATGTGCTAAGGCGAATATGCCTACGGAAGGGGCCCAGGATGACCAAGCAGCGCCATCGCCAGGAATACAAAAAAGTATAGTCTGTATTCAGTATTTCAGGGATCTCGTTGCATGAAGAAACAACTGAAAAAAATATTTCGTCTCATTGCATGCGTGTGTAAACCCGGTGACTGGAAGAACTACTTATACATGTGCACTCAACAGGCTTCCAGAAGTCCAAGTACGAGAACGTTACCTGGCCCAGGCTGAGACGACGTCCTGGGGCTCGAGAGTACGAGACCGTGGCCTACGCCTCTCAATTTGCCACAGAATACATCACTCGCAGGTAATCCGCAGCACCCAGCTACGTTAAGCCAAAATCAAAGAAAAAGACCATTTAAACTCCGGTACACAATACACGGCTGCTAGACTGCGTATAAGTCTATCATCTATGTATGGTACGAGAGTTTTAGTCGTCTTTTAGTAGGTGCTTCGCATTCCATCCCCTTCATGCAATCACACTAATTGCATCACTGACTTTGGTTGCCAAGAAAGCATATTTAAAAATAAAACAGCACCATGAATATTTAAGTTTTGCTGACAGTACGAACTTGATGCATGGTTGAAGTCATGACGTTGATGCTCAGGAAATAGATCGGGTAGCTACCACTGCTAATATGTGTCCTCAGAGGAGATGTCTCAAAAACAGCCACTGTAAACGGAGGACGTATTCGCCTAGGCTTCTTTTTTCCCCCTTACCAGCCTTGGCGAGTACCAGATATGGTGAACTCCACAGCGTGCGTTTGATTGGTGGCTTTCGGGCGGAGCGAAGACTGGCGGACACTACAAAGCTGTAGATTCTGTATTCAGCGCTATACACCTCCCTAACTGCCCGTGTGCTCAAATTTGGGTGCACGTTAAAGAACCCCATGTGGTCGAAATTTCCGGAGCCCTCCACTACGGCGTCTCTCATAATCATATGGTGGTTTTGGGACGTTAAACCCCACATATCAATCAAATCACCTCCCCAACTGACAGTCAGTCGGCAGTCTAAAAACGAGCTCGTCGCTATTTTAGAAATTTCTGTAACGACGCAACACAATCGCAAGTCAGCAGTAACCAACATAACCTAATCAAACATCACCCAAATCAACCCAGCCCAGCCCAGCAAGCTGCTTCTAGTAAAGATGGTGCCCCGCTGCCAGGGTCTTCTCTAGCGGTGACGTGTAGTGTAGATGAGCGGGAACGGAAACGTAATAGACGGGAAACAAATGCTATATGATCCCGTGTGAAATAGGTGGCACTAGCGATTCAGAGGCGTAATAACCGGGTAAATGTAACATGAGCGAGGTTATTTATATTTAAGCTTACGCTGCTTGTAGCATCGTTATAATCGATCCCGATCTGCGGCACCCGCTTGACTTGCGTCTGTAGGTTAAAACTGGCGCCGGACGACGTCCACGGTGCCGTCAAGTGTGTCGACGTCAGAGACACGGCGCTGGGCCGCATCTGCCCCAGGGAGCTGATCGACGAGGAGGACGTGGTGTGCCCGCGGAAAACGCTGCACTATCGCACCCCCGACGGCACCTGCAACAACTTCGACCGACCGTCGTGGGGCGCCACCTTCTCGACGCTTGTGAGGCTGCTGCCCGCCAGGTACGCCGACGGTACGTCCTCTCACCGTTGCTCACGCAGTTCTTCTGTAGTTACCAGGAGCGTTTCTTTGTATCTTATGCGGACAGTGAGGCCTATGTAGAGTACGAATAGAACCAATTAACCACGTGGACCCAGCGGTCATAGCCATGGGCGTCGACATCTGTGCTCAAAAGACACCCACACACATCCGCAAGTCGCACCAGCAATTACCATATACATACCTGCACTTCGCATCAGTCGCGATTCTGCCGTTTCTTTCGTACTCGTCCAATGTGGGGAGGAAGAATCAGGCGTGGGTATACCTCTACAGCACGCAAGAAACGGAAACGGTAGCGTGTGCACTAGTTAATCATCATCATTCGAACAGGTCAAATCAAACAGCTTTATTAATCGCCCCGCGAAATTGTGATGGGCCGGTATGCCACTTGGTCTTCTGCCAAGCGTAGATAACCCATGGCGGCTTCCTCGGCCTGTTGGACTGCCCAAACCTTGCAACGCATTTCCTACACGCGCACTATCATGCGCACTTCGCAGGCATATCTAGACCCCGCGTCTCGACCAGCGGCTCTCCGCTGCCCAGCGGTCGCTCGGTCAGCCAGACGCTGACCACCCTCCGGGACCGGACGGGCAGCTCGGACGACCCGCGGGTCACCCTGATGCTGATGCAGTGGGGTCAGCTGGTCGACCACGACGTCTCGCTGACCACGCTGTCCGTGTCCCGCTCGGGGTTCCCGCCCAAGTGCTGCCGTCCTCTCATGTCTCCCGAGGACGTGCACCCGGAGTGCATGGCCATCGCGGTCTCGTGGCGGGACCGGTTCTACCGCAAGTTCGACGCCACCTGCATGGAGTTCAGCCGCTCGGCGCCCGCCGCCAAGCGAGGCTGCAGGTTGGGTACGACACGACGACGCGTCTGCCAATGCTGCCATCGTGTGCGATGCAGTGCACATCCATGTATCGTTCTAGTCGTGTAGCCCTCCTGTACGATGCAATTGCCTGTACAGCAATGGATTGGTTTAGGCAGTGACGTGGTCAGAAATTTCAACGTGAGAGTTGTTTCGCAGAAATTGCGATAGCGATGTCGACAAGGGCGTCGTGGGAATCGTGAGCGAGAAATTGGCGTTGTCCGGGAGCAGAAATTTGAGAGAGATGCAAATGAATAAGTAAACAAATAAATAAAGAACAATAAATCATCGGTCTGAGTGAGAAATAAACCCAGAGGTGTTCGACCACGGAGTCGTGCCAGTACTTTAAACTGCTTGGGACGATGCTCTCTCAGCTGCTCCAGTCATGTGGCGCAGTGCTCCAGCCTAAATCTTTCATCCCTAACTTCATGCGTACTGATGTAACAACGTGTCGAGGACGCGTCGAATGCCGATACGAGACGACACGTGACATCATCATTATGCATGATGCATAAGAAGAATGGCAGCGTCGGCTACTGCACGAAGCTTATTCGCATACCACCGTTACCACATGTCGAAACGGACGAATCCGTTGGAAGCTTAAAGCCATGGCATTTGGGGTGTATTTTTGCTAATACTAGTATTATTAGTACCAGTACTGTATTGGAATAATGGCGCATTGTACTACTGCTAGAAGCTTCTATAGGTTTACCACCATAAGCACAATTCGAACGGGATCATTTCCAACGGGTCCATTGGTAGCCTAAAGACAACATCTTGAGTTATTACCAGTATGACCGGCGTTACCAGTACCACTATTACCAGAAGCATAGGCGTGCGCAGGGGGGGGGGGGGACAAGGGTGGCGCGAAGTCAGTCCAAAACGTGACCCCCCCTCCCCTCCTTGAAGGAAAACCCATCGCACTTCTATGTCCTGGAAGCCGCAACTTCGCCCCCCCCCCCCCGCCAGCGGAAAGTTCTTTTCGTCCACTTCACTTCCTTCACGTCTATACCGCAATTACTATTCCACACTTCAAACAGTACAATTAAAGTTCTCTATAGATTCACCAGCTTCAACATATGCTACTTTTCGTTAAGGTTGCGTCAACATCTAACGAAACATTTAATTAGATTTCATGTTACGAGACAAGTCGGAGATGTAGCATTTTCAAACATTTCACATCTCGCATTTTTTTTTTCCTGGGGTGTACAGCCATGGAGCCCCTATACTACTCACTCAGTGTTCAATGATGATAAGCGAAGTACTCTTTTCTTTGCGATATGGTAGCTAGCTGTCGAAAAACGAAGAAAAAAAAGAAATGAGGTCCCTCAAAGGGTGCTCTCGTTTTTCCCAGGTGCACGTGACCACACCAATCAAGTGACGGCGTTCATAGACGCCTCCACGGTTTACGGTTCGACGGCCGAGGAGACAAACCAGCTGAGGTCGTTCAGGAAAGGTTAGTCCATAAAAATAATACGCATTTTTAACACAGAAATACACTAAGCGAATTTCACGCCTGTGATATCAACCCTTTCTCTCAGTAAGTGAATTTGTTGCGCCATCCAATTCATGGCCTATTCCCCGGAGTGGGTAGCGCCAAGATGTTGAGGAACGAACCAACCAACCTGAGTTGATATAAATGCTCGTAAGCCAGTGCCACCACCTGGCGAATGCATGTTTGTTTGTTTGTTTGTTTGTTTGTTTGTTTGTTTGAGCCTTAGAGATATGGGGACTCGCTCGCTGGATTCCGTGCCGACCGGTTGTCCCTCGCGATCTCCGACCACAGTGCAGCTCTGGCCGACTGGGCTGGTCTTACGCTATCTCCTTCACCGATCTTCGACGACAGCGTAGCTCTGACCTACTAGACTTGCCCTACGCTATCTTCCGACGCCGACAAGAGCTCTCGCCTGTGGTGTCCCCGTCCTCGGACTCCTGCAACCGTGTCCATCTTTCCTGTCTTCTCCTTACTTCCGTCGTCCGCTGTCCCTGCGCCTCGCTCTCTCCTTCCTTCTCTCTCCTTCCTCCCTCTCCATCTCTTTACCTTTGAATCTTTTCTTTTTAATCCCTTCTCTACCCCCATCCCTCGTGAGCTACTGTTGAGGTGTCCTTCCCCCTGAGAGACAGTTACGGGGCTCACTTTTCTCTTTTTTTTTCACTTAAAATCACCCCCCCCCCCCCTAGAAATATGGTACATACCCACTCTGCGGGATTGGCCAGGATTTGGTAGTTTCAAATGCACACCCAGTTCCTCTTTCTTCATATATCTCATTTTTTTCACATTTCTTCCTTTCTATATGCCTATTTGTACACCAGTTGACTTTCTTTGATGCTTCTTTTTACTTGTCGGCCGTTGTTGCACAGTCGCCGCGTTGCTCAGCTGCAGACCCGAGGTCGTGGGTTCGATCCCGTGCGCGGGGGTCGCATTTCGATGGACGCGAATTGATTGAGGCCAGTGTACTGTACGATGCCAGTGCATGTTAAAGTACACCCGACGGTCGAAATTTCCGAAGCCCTTTACCACTACTGCACTCTTCATAATCACATGGTGGTTTCGGGACGTAGAACCCCAGATATGATTGTATTCATAATCTCTTTCTGTATTGCTCTACCTCCTTTTAGGGGCGACGCTCCTTAAGGCGTAAGCAAGTCCCGCGTTGTAGTAGCCACCGCTAGCGCTCAGAGCGCTCTCTAGATGGCACTGTGGCGCTCGCACCGCTAGTACTCTGATCGCTCAACAGGTGGTGTTGCGGTGCTCGCTCCACTGCAGTGCGTGCTCTCGTGCGATAGTAGACCGCGTTCGCTATTGCGTTAAAATGCGTTCGCATCTTGGCGCGCTTCCTCTTTCGCCTGCTGTGTTCTTCGATTGTGAGCGACGAAGACAAGGCGGTGGAGTGGAGGGCTCTGAAAACGGCTGCAGTGCGAGCTCGCCGTCTTTGCATCATGATCGATTGGGCAAGATTCGTACAGGATTGATGGTTTGCCGATGTACCTCCGGAGCTTTGCCCACTAATCATCACTCCGTGGACATGCTGTGATTTTTTTTTCGTAATGCCAAGCTCACATCACCCCTTCTCACCCTTACTTTCCCACACCCGTGTACGAATACATACTATACAAGGCTATGTTATGCTTTGCCCTCTCCCATCCCCCTTTCCTTCCTCCTTACCTTCACTTTGCATGGTTATTCCATGCTAGGCATTGCTTGGCACACACCCTCTTTTTGTGACGCATACCTGCCGTCTTCTCAGTCTACGACACCAGCCTTACTCGGAGCTTAAAAAAATAAAGCCGCAGTTTCGCAGCTAGATTGAACCAATGAATGCCATAGCGATAAATTAGAGCATCATTCGGAGTAAGGCTAGCAGCTCACTTCTTCGGCGTGACAACTGGCGTAATTTACGACACTCTCGCAGGCATGCTTCGGACCCTGGATACTAAGTGGTCCAAGCCGCTGCTGCCTCCAGGTTCCGAGGCCGAGATCCTGGAGTGCCAAGAGAGGGGCCGCAACTCCAAGTGTTTCATGGCAGGTTTGTCGGCACAGTGCTCGCATTCGAGGAATTCCCACATAAGGTTGCATATATAACTCCCCTGGAGCTCGGTAAACATTGGGGAAACGCATAGATAAGTAACTGAAAGAGTAAATAAATGGCGTACATGTGTGCACAAGCATACGCGGAATTCGCCGTCAGTGGAGAGAGGTGAAAGTTTGTCGCAGCGCCCCCCTCCACGCTTTTCTATGAAGTGTCCATAATAAGACGACACAAGATGGCCATTTATTTCCCCCCGGTGAAACACGATAAACGTTCCAGATTGAGTGGATTGAATACCGCGCTGTTCACCATAGATGTTGTTGACCCTGTAGATACCGCTGTTGCGTGCTTATTTGTGGTTACTAGGTGACTCTCGTGTGAACGAGCAACCGGGTCTGACGGCACTCCACACCATCTGGATGCGGGAGCACAACCGCGTGGCGCGCCATCTGTCCACACTCAACCCTGGCTGGGACGACGAACGACTCTTTCAGGTAGGTGCGGAGCACCTTAGAGGCTATAGGCTAGTCAGCGTGCCTTCTGTTGTCACAGTGGGTCATGTAAGTTACGGTCCATTATAAGAACTGGTACGCTTCACAATGGATAAGTCTCGCAACTCGCCACCGGCCACTAAATATTAAGGTGACAGTTAAGCCAACAATTAGCCGACGATGTCTGTGGAGCTCAAACACCCTTCCCTACACGGCGTAGGGAACTGAAATTGGGCATGTTGGGAGAAAGAGGAGAAAATGAAGACGGAGAAGCACTTTAGGGCATAAGCTGACTTTCAACAACGCTTTCCGACGACGTTAGTGAAACGGAGACGCCTATCCTGACATGCCCGGTTTCTCATGCTCGGCACCACTAGAGCATCATCTGAGAGATCTCACACAAATCTCTGCATGCTTCCTCCCTCCCCAGTTGTTTAGAGATGATAGTCTTGCTTGGCATACTTGAACGCAGAAATTTTAGTCTGTATGTCTGTGTCTACCACTCTGTCTGTCTTCATTCAGCCACCCGACCAAAGTATGAGCACTTGCTGAACTCCCGGTCATCTTGAATTGGTAACTGCGTTGATACTTTCTAACATTTTCGACCAAAAATCAAATATTACGCATATCTGAGGTGCAACGTCAATACATAAGTATTAGATGATGTGTTGATATACAAAGATACGTAACTAGAAAGAACCCAGTGTGTCTTACGCTGTGCTCAAGATGCGACGCTATGCGTGAAAAAGCCATTTGCTGACTAGGGCACCCACATGAAGACTCCCTACTGCCGAAAATACGGTGCTGCCTCCTGGCAAGATGGAAATGGTACGAAAACAGCATCACCGGTGTCCGTGGAATGAGACCAGTCCTCGTGTGAGCACGGCCTGCAGAAGGCTATCGTTTTTCGACGACATTTGCAGCAAAGCACGCATATGCTCGGGACATTATCCCTTCATTTTTCGTGTCTTGATTGCTGAGAAGAAAGCGCGGTGGCCATATATAGCTCTATCCGTATGCATTTTGCTCTATCCGCCAGGAGGCTAGGCGAGTGGTTGGCGCAGAGGTGCAGCACGTCACGCTGACGGAGTTCCTCCCCGCCGTGCTGGGCGAGTCGGTGGCACAGATCTTCGGTCTCAAGCCGGCCACGTCGGGCCACTGGCGCGGCTACGACACCACGGTGGACCCCGGCGTGTCGAATGTGTTCGCCGCGGCCGCCTTCCGCTTCGGCCACAGCCTGGTGCCGCACGCCTTTCACCGGTACGACAAGAGGCACCGGCTCCTTCTCAATGGTGGGTTACCTGCCTGCCTGCCTGCCTGCCTGCCTGCCTGCCTGCGTCTCTCCCATGTTCCGTTAATCAAACCAGTTCTGCGCTTTCTACTTCCATGGATGTTACACCTGAAAAGTTCTAAATCTAATGTGCCCACCTAATTTCATGTTTCCCTTTCATTCGTTTGCCTTTAACGTTAGTACAATTAATATGTACCGGCTGGGGGGTAGGGTGGAGTTGATGCTGAATAGATTATGACATGCGCATCGTAAACAAGGACTAAACGGACACACGAAGATTGTTTAATTTTTTATCATTCAATGTCGTTAAAATCATCCACGAAATTTGAAACTACGAAATCTTGGCCAATACTCCCAGAGTGTATGTGGCATATTATGTAAGACTCAAACAAACAAACAAACAAACGAAAAAAACAAACAAACAAACAAAGATAGACTAACAACGGAGCTCAGTGCTTATGGCTTTGTTTATCTTTATGTGGCTGTCATTTTCTCCTTTTTCTTGATGCGCCCTGTTGCCGTTGACGTCGGTGTCATGTTCCATGTAAAGATCGAATTGATAACATCGCTCCGCGCTTCGTATGTCATGGCCGCGAGCGCTGGCCATGATCGCCGCTGAAGCAAGAACGAAAGTCGCCGGTCGTCTCCGTCGCACGCAAGGGGCTTGTGATCACACCACACCACGTGCGAGACCTGCCATCGATTGATCATCAAGCAGCTCAGAGAAAACACCCCGTTCGTAAGGAGCATGAATTGACGCAAGGGAAGGGGGGGGGGGGGCTGCGTAGCTCGAAGGGCGTGGTCACTGGCACGCGCTATCTCGAAAAGCACCAAGACATGGCTCATAAATTTGCATAACTCTTCGCGCTTACTTCGCGTTAAGAAACTGAGAGCAAGTAAACCGCTTCGGTCTCTGGAGCGGTAGAGGGACGCGAGATCGGATTCGAAACAGTGAGTTGCTAGACATACGCCGTATAACGTTCCCGTTTGTGGCTATCACATTCATTGATTCGCCCTTTAACCCTTTCAGGCATGTTTGTTTTTTATTTTGATCGGATATATTTTTAGTGCATGCATGATTTTCCCGTAGTTAGGACCTCAGAAAACCATAAACAAAAAATTGAGCCAGTAGTGCAAGCATTTTGGATTAATTAGCATGCATAAAATTAGGTCGTCAGGATTGAGCGATTAGTGAATGAAAAAAAAAGGGCTTGTTTTTTCCTGCTAACTATTAGTGTAAAAAATCGAAACCAATGTCTCACTTGGCGAACTCCTCATTGATGTCTCAATGTCTCACTTGCAATACTCATTGAAATAGCCTCGGTACGACGTCCCGAAGATGGCGCTTACCCGCCTAACCTTACGCGCCTCGTCTTCACCGAAGACTTCGCTCGCGCTTCTTGTTCTTTTTGGCTGCTACCTGCACAAGCGTGCCACAATATTGATGTCAATTTCAGTGAGAATCATTGAGGAAACTATTCCCCCAAGAATGAGCAATATTGCTTACGTTTCCGAGATGCTTGAGGAAATATAGTGCGGTGGTGTCAATTGACACCGCCAGGGCCGAAACTGTTAAGGGAAGCAGATTTTTTTTTTCTCGGTTCAGCACCATACTGCCCCTCTGCAGACACCCCTCTTCACTCGGAGTTCTTCAACCCGACGCACCTGTTCCGACCGGGCGCCGTGGACCGTCTCGTCCTGGGTCTGGTCAACCAACCGGCATCCGGCATGGACGAGCAGCTCAGTCCCGAGGTGACCAACCGGCTGTTCCAGCCGCAGGGCCAGGACTTCGGACTCGACCTCATGGCGCTCAACGTGCAGAGGGGTCGCGACCACGGACTGCCGCCCTACGTCGCGTGGCGGCGCCACTGCGGGCTGCAGCCGGTGCGCGGATTTCAAGACCTTGAGCAGTTCGTAGGACCAGCCGCGTCTCAGGCGCTTGGGAAGTTGTACGCGTGAGTAATAGGCAGCTCTTGTTAATTACACTTGAGTCAAACATTCCTCAACAGCTCGAGAACGATAACGCGAGAAAAGGGGCCTTTTCTTGGTCCGAACAGCACCCCATGTGGCGATCACTGAAATCAAAACTGGTGGCTCTTCAACTCCGAAATGGTCCCCCCCCCCCCGCATGCCAGTAGGCAATCTGGGAGGCTTGCGTTCGTGTCTCTCATTGGCGCAAACATTTGCCTGTTTGAGGCACCAGATGGCGCTTGGTTCGCACGTGTTGGCACGTTTTCGCCACCAAAAATTATGGCGCGTGCCTTCTCGAGGCCTGCGCGCATGCGCAGACAACCTGCCCAGAAAAGGCCCATTCAGGAACATTTCCGGAGTAAGCAAATATTGCCTTGTTCTTGCCGGACCTGCTTTCTTTCTTTTCCGCCGTGATGGAGCAGTGGTTATGTTATGATGCTCTGCTGCTAACCTTAATGTCGCGTGTTTGGTCCCGGCAGCAACATTACGATGACAGTGAAACGGTAGACGCTCGCGTACTGTCCGATATGTCACGTCAAAGAACACCTTGTGGTCAACATTTCCGCAGCCCTCCACTACGACGTCTCTCATAATAATGTCGTAGTTTTGGGAAGTAATGTGCCCCCGATATTTTTAAGACGACGTACTTTCTTGGAATACTTGAACGAAGAAATTTTGGTCTGTCTGTTTGGCTGTCTGTCACGCGATTCAGACACCCGGCCATAGTTTAAGTAAGGTGTGGGAGCGGGCTAGTTAATATTCCATGTCTTAGTTTAGAAAAAATGATTAACAATATTGTCACGGGGTCGTGACGTGGCCGAAGACAGGAGACTTCTTGTTGGGATTTAACTGTTTATTTGGGCGAACCTGTGCCCGGTAAACAGAAAGTCCAATTACAGCAGCAGTCTCACACAGATAGCAGTCTCAGACTGATAGCGGCGAACGGAGCGTCGGCCTTCGATCAACAACTGACAAGCGGCGAAGCGCGTCGGCATTAATACTCCCGCCGTCGAATGTTCTAGCGCTATCGCTGGCGGCGGCGTGCGTTCCAGAACAATCTGTACCATTCGCACAGTGGGCGTGATCTTATCGAAATGATCTACTACAGTACGGAACCCTCTAGAAAACAGCAGGCGCGGTTTGCGCTGAGAATCGTGTGGTGTTTTGGGACGATAACGAAAACTTGGGAAATGGAACGTGGCATTGCCCCCCTCTGAAAAAGGCATCGTCTCGATGCTTTAACTAAAGATGAAGGTACAATAATAATGCAAGAAAGTACAATGAATAAATTACGATACAACAATAATACAAAAAACACTGGTTCAGTTTGTTAGCGCGCATGAAACGGCTTGAGGCGCGCGACATGGACGACTTCAGGTCGCGATCGGCGTCGTTGAGAGTTCGTAATGCCGTCGGGGACAACCTCGTAATCAAGTGGGCCGAGACGTCGAACCACCCTGTACGGTCCGAAGTACCGTCGCACAAGCTTTTCACTTAGTCCACGTCGGCGTATCGGCGTCCACACCCAAACACGTTCACCGGGCTGGTATTCCACGAAGCGTCGTCGAAGGTTGTAACGGTGGCTGTCAGTCGTCTGTTGATTCTTGATACGGAGACGCGCAAGTTGTCGGGCTTCTTCGGCGCGATGAAGGTACTCGCTCACATCGAGGTTTTCTTCGTCGGTGACGTTGGGTAACATGGCATCGAGCGTCGTTGCCGGGCTCCTTCCGTAGACCAATTTGTATGGAGATATCTGCGTCGTCTCCTGCACCGCCGTGTTGTATGCGAAGGTCACATACGGAAGAATGGCATCCCACGTCTTGTGTTCGACATCGACGTACATTGACAGCATGTCGGCGATCGTCTTGTTAAGCCGCTCGGTGAGGCCGTTGGTCTGTGGGTGGTACGCTGTCGTCCGGCGGTGGTTTGTTTGGCTGTATGCCAAGATCGCTTGAGTTAAGTCGGCAGTGAATGCCGTTCCTCTGTCGGTGATAAGGACCTCCGGGGCGCCGTGACGTAGGACGATATTTTCGACGAAGAACTTAGCTACCTCGGATGCACTGCCTTTTGGCAGGGCTTTTGTCTCGGCGTAGCGGGTGAGGTAGTCGGTGGCTACCACGATCCACTTGTTTCCGAAAGCCGACGTCGGGAACGGCCCCAATAGGTCCATACCAATCTGCTGAAAAGGTCGGCAAGGTGGATCAATTGGCTGCAGAAGTCCCGCTGGCCTTGTCGGCGGTGTCTTGCGTCGCTGACAGTCCCGGCATGTCCTCACATAACGAGTGACGTCGGTGGTAAGACGCGGCCAGTAGTACCTTTCTTGTATCCTCGCGAGCGTGCGAGAAACACCGAGGTGCCCTGCCGTCGGATCGTCGTGCAGGGCCTGCAGGAGTTCTGGTCGCAGAGCTGAAGGCACCACAAGGAGATACTTAGCCCGAAGCGGTGAAAAGTTTTTCTTTTGTAGAAGACCATTTCGTAGAAAAAACGATGCAAGTGCGCGCTTGAATACCTTCGGGACTTCGGCGGTCCTGCCTTCGAGGTATTCTATTAGGGCCTTAAGTTCCGGGTCGGCCCGCTGTCGTTCAGCGAAGTCGTCGGTAGTTATCGTTCCCAAGAAGTAGTCGTCATCCGGGTCGTCGGGGAGCGGTTGGTCGACAGGCGCACGAGAGAGACAGTCGGCGTCGGAGTGTTTTTTGCCGGACTTGTAAATGACAGTAATGTCATATTCTTGAAGTCTCAGGCTCCATCGTGCGAGGCGACCTGAAGGGTCCTTCAAAGTGGCTAGCCAACACAAGGCGTGGTGGTCGCTCACAACTTGAAGGGCCTGCCGTAGAGGTATGGGCGAAATTCGACGTAGCCCAGATGATGGCGAGGCACTCCTTTTCTGTTGTGGAATAATTTGCTTCTGCTTTGGATAGCGATCGGCTGGCGTAACTAATAACCCTTTCAAGTCCGTCAGCCCTCTGCACAAGAACGGCGCCAAGACCTACGCTGCTTGCGTCAGTATGTATTTCTGTCTCGGCGAATTCGTTGAAATGGGCAAGTAACGGAGGCGTCTGGAGGCGATGTTTAAGCTCCTGGAAAGCGTGTTCCTGTGGCGTTTCCCACTTGAACTCCACGTCGGCCTTAGTAAGGTTAGTGAGAGGATCGGCGATGCGGGCGAAGTTTTTCACGAACCGCCTATAATAGGCGCACAGGCCCAGAAATCGGCGCACGGCTTTCTTGTCAGTGGGCGGCGGGAATTCGGCGATGGCGGCTGTTTTCCGTGGATCAGGACGAACTCCAGACTTGCTGATAACGTGCCCCAGAAACAAGAGCTCTTCATACGCAAATCTGCACTTTTCTGGCTTCAGTGTGAGTCCGGAAGTCTTGATGGCTTGAAGTACAGCTTCAAGGCGCCGAAGATGCTCGTCGAAACTGGAAGAAAATACGACGACGTCGTCCAAGTACACAAGGCAAGTCTGCCACTTCAATCCTGCCAGTACTGTATCCATAACGCGTTGAAAAGTTGCAGGCGCTGAGCAAAGGCCGAAGGGCATCACCTTAAACTCGAAGAGGCCGTCCGGTGTTATAAACGCCGTCTTCTCTCGGTCTCTTTCGTCGACTTCGATTTGCCAATAGCCAGTCTTGAGGTCCATTGACGAAAAGTACTTGGCGTTATGGAGCCGATCAAGTGCGTCGTCTATTCGTGGGAGAGGATACACGTCCTTTCTTGTGATTTTGTTCAGGCGGCGATAATCGACGCAAAAACGTAGGGTCCCATCCTTTTCTTCACTAACACCACGGGGGATGCCCATGGGCTGTTGGACGGCTGGATAATATCATCCCGCAGCATTTCATCAACTTGTCTCTTGATGGCCTCACGTTCTCGCGTCGAAACCCTGTACGGACTCTGACGGAGTGGTCTGGCATTTTCTTCGGTTATGATGCGATGTTTCGTGATTGGGGTCTGCCGAATTTTCGATGACGACGAAAAGCAATCTTCGTATTGCAGGAGCAGGGCCTTGAGCTGTTCTTGCTTATCGTTCGGAAGTCTGGGATTGACGTCGAAAGCTATGGGAGGGGCTTGGTTCCTCTGAGCAGGTTCCGCAGAATCGGCGAGGGCGAAAGCACTGGTGGCTTCGACGATTTCTTCGATGTATGCGACCGTTGTTCCTTTGTTAACATGTTTGTACTCATTGCTGAAATTTGTGAGCATAACCGTTGCTTTGCCTCCCCGCAACTCTGCAATTCCTCTTGCGACGCAAATATTTCGGGTGACCAACAGATGCTGACTGCCTTCAACGACGCCTTCGAAGTCAGGTGATTCAGGAGCGCCGACTGAAATAATGACGCTTGAGCGAGGCGGAATGGTGACTTGTTCTTCCAGCACATTCAAGGCATGGTGTCTAGACGGCGTGCGCGGCGGTAGTGCTTCTTCTGTGGATAACGTTATCGACTTTGTTTTTAGGTTGATGACAGCACCATGGAGGCATAAGAAGTCCATGCCAAGGATGACATCTCTCGAGCAACGCTGTAGGACTACGAAGTCTGTAGGATAAATACGGCCGTTAATGGTGACTCTCGCTGTGCAGATTCCTGCAGGCGTTACGAGATGACCTCCGGCTGTGCGGATTTCAGGGCCTTTCCAAGCTGTCCTAACTTTCTTTAACTTCGCGGCGAACGACCCACTGATGACAGAATAGTCGGCTCCAGTATCGATGAGAGCGGTCACACTGTGGCCGTCGATAAGAACGTCGAGGTCGCTAATTCGCCGTCTCGCATTACAGTTAGGGCGTGGCGTCGGGTCACGGCTGCGTCGACTTGTTCCGCTGCTTCCATGTTGCGTCGTCAGGCCACCTTCGGTAAGTGAGCTTTCGTCGTCAGGGCTTTGCCTGGTTGGCGTTGTGTTCGGAAAGCTCCGTCGCGGCGTCGTCGTCGTCGGAGGATCTTCGGTAGTTCGTCGCACAGCAACCGCACCTCCACCGGTTGCTGCCCTTAGTTTCCCGGATACGGGCTAGGAGACCGGCCCCGCGTTGGGCCAGAGTACTGTCGGTGGTGCGGTGACGTGCGGCGGCTGGGCGACGGCGAACGCGAAGGGCTTCGTGGTGTCCACCGAGTTCCTGTCAGGTAGTCGGCGATGTCACGTGGTCGTTCTCCTGGCTGTGGGCGCGGTGCATTGACGGCGAAGCCACGCAATCCCATCTGTCGGTACTGGCAACGGCGGTATGTGTGTCCGGCCTCGCCGCAGTGGTAGCAGAGCGGGCGATGGTCAGGGGTGCGCCAGACGTCAGTCTTCCTCGGTGCACTGCGCTGGGCCGCTGGCGAACGGTATGACGTCGGTGGGGGTGGTGGCGGCGGTGGCGTCTGTCGACGGAAGTGCGATGGGGCGGCGTTTTGGCGTGGACGGGGAGGAGCGTTGTGGCTCAGTGCAGCGGCGTAGCTCATAGCTTCCGGCTCGGGCAGCGGTGCGTGGGGAATTTGAAGCGATTGCCGAACTTCTTCTCGCACAATGTCGGCGATCGAATCCACTTGAGGCTGCGCCGAAGGCAACAGCTTGCGCAGCTCTTCCCGCACGATCGCTCGGATCGTTTCACGCAGGTCTCCGGAGTTACTGGCTTGAGCAGCAGCGCAGTCTGCAGTCAGGCGACGATTATACTGTCTGGTGCGCATGTCCAGGGTCTTTTCAATAGTGGTCGCTTCGGCTACAAATTCTTGGACGGTTTTCGGTGGGTTTCTTATCAGCCCCGCGAAGAGCTCCTGTTTGACCCCTCGCATGAGGAAACGAACTTTTTTCTCGTCAGGCATGTCTGGGTCAGCGTGACGGAATAGTCGGGTCATTTCTTCTGTGAAAATCGCGACATTTTCATTTGGTAGCTGAACCCGGGTCTCTAATAAAGCAGCGGCCCTCTCTTTTCGAGCGACGCTCGCGAACGTTTGCAGGAATGCGCCGCAGAAAGCATCCCACGTTCGGAGCGTGGACTCCCGATTTTCGAGCCAGGTCCTTGCGGTGTCTTCTAAATAGAAGAACACACGACGCAGCTTTTCGTCATGGTCCCAGTGGTTGAGGGCGGCCACACGGTCGTATGTCTCTAGCCAGGACTCCGGGTCTTCGAATGATGATCCATGGAAAATTGGTGGTTCCCTGGGTTGATGCATGACCATCGTGGGCTGGGACGCTGCGGTTGTCATTGTCGCTGCAGTCGCAGTCATGGCCTTGGTCTTCCGCGGCTTGTCGTGCAGAAGCCCGTACTCCGGTGGTAGCCCTTGCTGTCGGCGGCTTGTTCGCTGATCCTGGTTGGCGTCGGTGTCTTCTCCGCGACGTGGGCTGGGTTCACGGCTTGACGGGGGCGTCCGGTACATGAACGAAGCAGCACCTCCACCAAATGTCACGGGGTCGTGACGTGGCCGAAGACAGGAGACTTCTTGTTGGGATTTAACTGTTTATTTGGGCGAACCTGTGCCCGGTAAACAGAAAGTCCAATTACAGCAGCAGTCTCACACAGATAGCAGTCTCAGACTGATAGCGGCGAACGGAGCGTCGGCCTTCGATCAACAACTGACAAGCGGCGAAGCGCGTCGGCATTAATACTCCCGCCGTCGAATGTTCTAGCGCTATCGCTGGCGGCGGCGTGCGTTCCAGAACAATCTGTACCATTCGCACAGTGGGCGTGATCTTATCGAAATGATCTACTACAGTACGGAACCCTCTAGAAAACAGCAGGCGCGGTTTGCGCTGAGAATCGTGTGGTGTTTTGGGACGATAACGAAAACTTGGGAAATGGAACGTGGCAATATTGAGTACTTGGTACTCAACTACGAGAGAGCAGTAGGCCGTCCCTTCTGGATTTGTGCACCAGCATTTGTCTAGCAATTTATCATGTGTTTAGAAGAATTTATTTTCACAAACGTCAATAACATTCAACAGAACATTTTTTTTCCTTAGACATACGTGTAATAACGATGATGACAAGGCAGACTGTCCTTTACATGGACATGAATATGAGATGACGTTGAAAGAACATGCACATTCGATGGTTCACGCAAACACAGTCACAAAAAATTATTTCAAGGGAAACAAGAGACACAATAAAACATGAATGTGCACATTTTGCATATTTTACATGTTGCTGGCATGCCATTTATGCCGGTGCATCGACACATCAGCCTACCAATACCAGGCCGGCCGAAAGACAAGTTTTACTCGTCCGTCACAGTACCGACACAAAAGGGCAAGACCAGTGCCGAAGGAATTCCTCTTCACCGAGAAAGAAGAGCTCCTCCGACAAAACAGACAGCAGCTCCGAGTACAATTGCTCTAAGACCGGGAATAGCGCGTGGCGGCGGCATGCAACCAACTGCAACGGCCTCGCAGCAGTTCCGCCAGAGGCAGAAAGAGCCGGCAACAACCAGAAGACAAGCGAAGCGGCCTCGTGAACAACGCCCAAAAAAAAAAACGAAGCGAATCGCTCTGAGGCAGTGAAATCCGGCATGTACGGCTCTCCAAAAACCGCGAGCAATGACACAATGCCTCAGAAAATGCTGATTTGTTTCCCGAAGGGAGCAGTTCGGACATGTTGCTGACTGGACTATTCTCCACCTTTCGAGGCGGTCGAGAGTGGGAAGCACACCCCATCCCAGGCGCCACATGAAGTCCCGGAGGTGTCCAGGCAGAAAAGAAGCCGTTAAGGTGCTCTAAGACACCCGTCTAGAGCGAGCACGGCGGGCTGGCGGGACCAACGGAAGCAACAAAGCAGCAGTTGTCTCAACTATGCGGTTGTTCAAAACATCTATGTCAGGACAGCTCGACTTGACTTGGCGAAAAAATGCAATAGTTGTTGCATAAAACGAAGAAAGTGTAATTGACTGCGGCCCCCTGTTAAGTTGCACATTAGGCATCAAATGCCGAAGGTGAGTACCCAGAAAGTAATATGCAAGCGTTCGTGCGAGAGATTCCTCCCCTTGCACTAGGCGCAAAAGGAAACGCAGTGCCAGCAGCCGACAGCGTATGGACACTGAAGGGAAAGCAAAGCCTCCCCGAGAACGCTGCTGTCCCAGTACCACGCGAGAGACCAACTCAGGGCCGCCTGACCAAAAAAAGGAACACAAAGCCGGCTGCAGTGATCGCACGACACGTTAAGACGGTTGCACGACGTGAGAAAGGTACCAAATGCGACCGCAAAATAGAGTCTGCGCAAGGTACCTCCGCTCTAGAAGCGGAAAATCAAAATCCCGTGCATCCTGAATTTTTAGTCTTACTTCTTCGAAAGCGTTTAACCAAACGGATTCGTGTCATGTGTGTTTAGAAAACGTGCATGGTTAACGATTTAGAGCACTTGGTACTGTACTATGGGAGAGCTGGGAGCCGTCCCACGAGCTGGAACGTCGCATCATTTGTGTGTTTAGAAAAAAGGGTTAACGATTTAGAGTACTTAGTACTCTACTATGGGAGAGCCGAAAGCCGTCCCGTGGATGGCGGAACAAGAGCCTGATGCCAACAAACGTAGCGAGGGTCTGTTCGGCGTTGAGGACGTGACGCGGAAAAAAGGCATTAACGGACTAAAAACAACGAGGGCAAGCGCTATAGTTGAAGTACTTGCTGAACGTCCGACCATCTTGAACTGGTTCACGCTTTCATACTTGTGAACATGCTCGATCGAAAAGCAAGGACTACACTCATATGTGGCGCAACATCAGTACGGAAATATTTGGCGGTGTGTTCCTTTACTAGAAAGTACATACATACGTGATTCTAGGGGCCCTAGTGTTTCTTAGGTGGCGCTAAAAATTCGATGCTGTGCACAAAAAAAAAAAAAGGCCGGCAGAAGACTATCGTCTTTCAACGACATTTTTTAATTCATTTCTCTCTATCGCATTTCGGAATGCATCGATCCATAGAGTTTCCTAATATACACTAGAGGGAACTCTGGTGCGAGTGTCCATGGGAGCTTCAATTCATGACGCTTCAGCGAGCATGGGAATGATGGGTAGTACACATATTTGTCACATTTTTGTACTTCTGGCCTGCTTCTGGCTTCGTGTGTGTTCGTGTGGCTTGGAGCTGTTTTTCCACAAAAACATAAATTAGCAATTGTTCACCTCTTGCGCTTCAGAACCTTATTATTTTAGGCTTACCACTTCGAATCAGGTCACTAAGTTCAAAAGGGTTTGTTCTTTCTTTCAAAACCGTAACCAGCAATAAACGAAGCCGCAAGTACGATTCGCCGCCCGCAAGTACGAAGACTAGGCAAATGTGTGTACTACCCATCATTCCCATGGTCGCTGAACCATCGCAGTGCCAGAGTCCCCTCTAGTTAATTTTAGCAAACTCTATGATTCGATCCTCAAATTTGTTTGCTTGCCCCATGCCGAGAATCAATACCTCCATTCATACGCGTGCTCTAAAGTGCAGCACTTCAGTTGGTACAGGCAACAAGGACAGCCGTGCGTTCATAACCAGGCCGCAGATAGATGTGGCTATGACAAATGACAAGTGACTTCGATAAAAGATCAGGTGATTGAGATATGATTGAGTGAGCCTCAAATATTGCAAACAGGTAAAAAAAACAAAAAAAACGCATAGTATTTTCAGGGTCACATTCTTCACCAGGCGTTTCGCGTTCCACAACGGCCACCACTGTAATCCCTTCCTCATAACAAGCTTGGTTTAAAGAACAAACGCAATCAGTTCGTGTTTTTTTAACGCTACCTTTGGCTTTCTTTCGCAGTTAATTGTCTGAATATCATCCCCCTGCACTAGGCATAGTCGGGCTGATGATGATGATAATGAATACCATTTAGAGCACGACTTTTATTTGTTCTTTAGGGCTGGTGAACCGACTGATTGCCGTCTGACGTCGAACATGTGCAGGTCTATCGATGACGTGGACCTGTTTCCGGCTGGGATCGCGGAAAAACCCGTGCTGGGTGGCGTGGTGGGTCCCACGTTCGCCTGCCTCATCGCAGAGCAGTTTGTGCGCATGCGCAAGGGCGACCGCTTCTGGTACGAGAACGGGGGCCTCGCGTCCTCCTTCACCAGTGGTACGTGCATCTTCTGCTATATGGCGCCGCCGCGGTGGTCTGGTGGCTGAGGTACTCGGCTGCTGACCCGCAGGTCGCGGGATCGAATCCCGGCTGCATTTCCGATGGAGGCGGAAATGTTGAAGGCCCGTGTGTTCAGATTTGGGTGCACGTTATAGAATACCCAGGTGGTAGAAATTTCCGGAGCCCTCCACTACGGCGTCTCTCATAACCATATGGTGGTTTTTGGGACGTTAAACCTCACATATCAATCATGTTCTGCTATATGTTCGCAAGTGGTCGTGCTGTGGGGTGAAACGCCACATGTGATCACGGTGAGCATGTGATGTAAGCTGAACTTTCAGGGACTGTGGCTGGCTGCGGGGGCTCGCCGAATGTCACCACATTTTTTTATCGTGTTTAATAAGTGCTCGTTCTGCAGTTCTCATCAATCTAGTAGAAGTATGATTTGACCATGTCTTTTGATTAAAAAAAAGTTCTGCTAGGATCATGCTTAGTTTTCATTGATCACTGCCTGCCAGGCCTAAACTCACGAAAGTGTGCGCTCACTAAGCCTCGCCATGCACACGCGCACCTCGTGAGTAGACGTGTCGTCTCACACAAATGCTTCATATCACTTCCAGATCAGCTGCGTGAACTGCGCAAGGTGACGTTGGCGCGGGTGCTGTGCGATAACCTGGATGACATCGAGACGATCCAAGCCCGAGTCATGGAGCAGGTCGACCAAAGACGGTGAGCACTTCGCCATAGCCTTTTGTGCCGTATGTTGCACACAAGAAAAAAAAATCTTTGAATCAGAACAGTAATATATTGAGGCGTTATCATGTAGCTATATAGTATATACTTTATATTATATATATATATATATATATATATATATATATATATATATATATATATATATATTGGCTGAGGGAAAATTCTGTGGAACGCCCCCCCCCCCCTAGGTACACATAGGACCCAGGTTCGAATGTAGTACTAACAGATTCACTAGGAGAGCACCGGCTTCACATGATCTACGATCGCTACTCACACGTAATTTTGCCCCTTCCCATATTGAACGAGAAACCGCACTGACAACGGAATTATGAAAGCAGAGCCAAATGAAAATTGGTCATTGAAATAAAAAAAAGCTTAGAGAACTACAATACATGGGTGAATCACTGCTGAAGCCCATATGAAATACCCGTCAAGACATTTTAGACTTATGTATATTATTCCTAAATGTTTAGCAATATTTTTGCTTAAAAAAAAGAGATCAAGTGCTAACGCTTTTTTTTCTCTCCATTTCGTTGCAGGAACAGAAGACAACCGTGCATGAGAATCCCGGAGATGAACTTGTCGTTCTGGAAATATTAATATATTCGTACAACTGAACGGACGGCCTGGAATGCTGAACAGTGATCTTGGACATGCGCAGACAAACGAAACGCGCAAAGACTAACCACCGCATTCACAAACGCTCCTCGACTCGACTTTCCCCCTACACTTGACAGAGTTGAGCAGTGCGCCACCGCTCGGCTGAAATAAACGCTGCGCTACTCAAGAATCGCAGCAGATTATCCCTAATATGCAGTGACTTGCCGTTCTCAGAGGTGGCGCTCCCATCGGCTTTCTCAAGTAAGAGTGAAGCGTTGAGTGAAGGGACGTTCTAGAACACAGGGGTAAAGGCCTGACTACACGACCTCTCTGACGCAGCGCTGTGCCCTCTTCCTATAGAAAGAGAGAGAGAGAGGGCGCGTGGCAACGCAAAGCTGCGCGCCCCTTCTCTCTCTCGCGTGGGGGCGCAGCGCTGGGCCTAATTCAACGCGCGGCGCAACAGCTGCATGTGGTCAGGCAGCCATAGAGTTTCCTAATATGAACTAGAGGGGACTCTGTCGCTGCGATCGTTCAGCGGTCACGGGAATGATGGGCAGTACACACATTTTTCTAGTCTTTCTGCTTGCGGGCGGCGAATCGTACTTGCGGCTTCGTTCAGTGCTCTGTTTCGGTTTTGTTTGAAAGGAAACAACGAACCCTTCTGAACTTCGCGACCAGATTAGGAAAGGTAAGTCTAAAAGAACGAGGTGGTGAAGCGCGACCGCTGAACACTTGCTGATTTTTGTTTCGCGAGAAAACAAGTTCAAGTCACACGGACACACACGGAGCCAAAAGCAGGCCAGAAGTACGAAGATTAGACAAATGTGTGTACCATACCAATCCTGCCCATGCTCGCTGAAGCGCCGTGCGTTGCAGCTCCCATAGACACTAGCGCCAGAGTTCTCTCTCGGGTATATTGGGAAACTCTATGCAGGCAGCGCGTCAGCGTGTGCCTTCTAGACTCGGCGCCTACTCTCTCCCTATGGACTGAGAAGGCGTGGCGCCGCGCCAAAAAGCCACGCGCTGACACACTGCGACGTATACGTGTGCTCAAGCCCTGGAATAGAAATGAAGGCGGGTCCACCCCGCCTTCGAAAGTTCTGAACTGGCATGTGTAGGACACTCGCCCACAAATACAGACAGGCCGGCGCGAGGTCACACATGGAGAGTTCCGGGAGTGTGGTCCATTGGGATAGTTGTCCCCACATTTTTTGCGAGGTATAAACAGCGTGACGCAGACGTAACACGAGTAGCAGAAGCTCCCGTCATTTGTGTTCCTTCCGCTTATGAAGTAAAGCTTTGAGCGCAAATAAATGACGCAGGACAAAGAAGGTAATCGCAGAGTACAGGCTTTGCCCTGCGTCGTTTATTTGCAATCGAAGTGTTGCTTTATAATGCGATGTGCCAACTATAGCCCACATAGCTATCCTTATTCCTTTCGCTTATCTTAGTCTACTTCGAGCTGTCTATACGAAATCTTTGACGTAAAGAGTAGTTGACACCCACCCCAGGTGGTCGAAATTTCCGGAGCCCTCCACTACGGTGTCTCTCATAATCATATCGTGGTTTTGGGACGTTAAACCTCACATATCAATCAATCAAATCAACCCCCCCTTTCCCCCTCAATTAGTGGCATCCGAAGTAAGTACCGGAAAGAAAAGCGTGTTTCATATGCCATGAATGAGTGAAAGAACTTTATTAAAAGTCAAATAGGTAAATATGAGCAGTCCAACATACGGGCCCGCGAAGCGGCTGAGAGGCGAGGTCCTTCAGTCCGAACGTGGGAGCTGCCCGCTTTGGTCTATGACCTCTGAGAGTAGGGGCGTAGGCAGAAACAAATTTTTTTTTTTTTCGGAGGCTACGCCAGTGCCAAGGCCACTGGTATAGAACATGTCGCACTCAAAACACATACTCTGGGAGGCAAAGCACATACTGAATCTGTTAGTCCCCATGCTTTCTCCGCTGGGGGGGGGGGGGGGGGCTGATGGCTTGCTTAGCTCAGAGACAAGCCGCTGCTAAGCAACTAAAAGCGATTGCAGTCAACAAGAATGCCGCGCCACGCGACTCCCTCAATTGCCTCGAACGCGAAGACATGTCGGAACACGTGAGACCCACTCCAAGTAAGACGTCGGGAAATAAAAGACCGAAAGGAGTAAACTTCACACTAGAAGAGGACAAAAAATAACTTCACACTTAAAAACTGCTAAATTGGAAGCACCCGATCCAGTTTGGCTCAAAAATTATGTGAGACATAAACACCAAAGCAACGACGGGAACAATGTTTTAAGTCAGACACGGCAATAGAGTTTCTCACTGGCATAACTGTGAGAAGCTCTATGCTGCGCATAGTTTAGACCGCGAGTGTTGTTATATTCATTGTCCGAATTCCGCAATGGTGATGATTTCCGCCACTGCGCGGTTAACTGATTGGTACAGAGAGCCTGCTATGAATGACCTAAAACGCTGCCATTACGTAATTCAACAATGTTCTTCTGTTGCTATTCTGTTTTCACAAACACAATTCAGAGATGAGATACGGTAGCCGCCTCTCAAGGTGAGTACCCAAACCACAGCCTCCAGCAGCCGCCCTTACGCAGCGATGGGGAAATGAAAGACCATATATATCCGTCCGCGGCGTGGGAGATGCTGGGCTCAATTTCCTGTGCTGTCGAGCACACACCGGTGTTTCTTATGGGATGGAGTCTGCGAGGAGAATATTTACGTTGTTGGGATGTTCTTTAAAGTAGGCTGTTACATGATTTGGTAGAGCGACGCAACCGAGACGAAGAAAGAACGGACACAGACGAGCGCATACTCGCAACTGAAGTTTCAGAAATAACACGCAACTGTAAATGTACGGCGCTATAGCTGCAGATCGTCTGAATACAAGATCATCAATATGGAATCGTACCACTGTGCATGACGAATGTGTGATATGTACCGCCTCCTATGTACGGCCTCCACTTTTATCCACAACCACTGCATGCAAATAACGTTACCTTGGCAACTACTAAGAGAAAGGCTTTCACACGCATAAAAATAGAGATGCTGTTGCATCCCACATATTGTAAATTCGTTAGCTCAGTTATTTGTTATTTCAGAAACCACCCGCGTAAATGCCCGAGATGGCAGCACCCACAGACGAAGTGTTAGAAGCGCTTCTAAAACCGAAACCAAAAGTGCCTCAACAACTATTGCGGAGTTTAAATAAACTTTGCTTATGAAAAACAGTTACATAAAACTTACTTTATGTATTTTGAAATTATAAATTGTACCCTATAAAAGTACTCTTGAAGTTTAAATGTTTGCGTATTTTGCCTGTCTTTAGCCATGGTTCCATCGCGACCACCATCAACGTTTCTCGGGCAGTGGTTGCAGTTTAGTTTGGAGATCAAAACAGCTGTTCCCTCTGTCTCAGAAACTTGTGACGAGCCGCGCTGCTTTACAGTGGTGAGTTTCGCTTGGTGCGACAACACTTCCTTTTGCACTCGTGCTTCAAACCAACGACGATCTCATCAACAGGCTTCTTCGATCGTTCTCGTGCAGGGTAGCTACAGCGGCGTCTACGGTAAACGTGCGAATCTCGTTGTCGGGACGCCGGATCAGTTGGCGCGTTTGTTTCACACCCGCGTGCAATTCTCTTATTGCAGCTCAGGTGCGCTGTCAAACTGTCCAGTTACTCAGAGATCACGTGCTGGTGACGCGCCGCTGTTTGACGAGGCGTCAACGCAACGCACTGCGTCGTGGATGAAAGTCGGCAAACATGCGCTGATCTTCGCGTTCCTTCTTTTCTTTCGAGTGCATCACGCCTCTCCGTCACAGCTCTGATTGATTGATTTGTGGGGTTTAACGTCCCAAACTGTCACAGCTCTTGCTATGCGATCAACACGTTTCGAGGCGTTAAAGAATCCTAACAGCCGTGTTATCTATGGGATATTCATTCAGTTCCTGCGCTGAAAGCGGACATGGCCGAACATATTTTAATCTCTGGACTGTCAATTGTGTGAACGATAGTATGCTTGGTGATATTGGTAACATCATGCTGCCGCCTTCTTCAGCATGTGATTGTGCGGAAACTGTCAACTCCATTCGTTAAGCCGTGGAATCGCGTCCACCGTTTTCTAAACGCTGTTCGAAGTGCCTTGGCGAAGACATCGAGTTTTGATCGCCGATAAGTGGTGTTGTAACTTCCAGATTTCTTCTAAATGCCGCACGCACGCTGTTTGTAGAATAATAGATCGTTCAAAGTAGAAGATGTGTCAACATTTTAACGGCCGGGTAAACTCGGTAGAATCAATCGGGATTTAACGATGGCCAGAAATGAGATCTTCGATCCAGTTAGAACCGTGGAGCTCCTGGGCTGTCTTACGATTCGTGTCGAGTTTATAGTTTTACGCGATTGGTGGATGCCTCATGTTTTTTTTTTTCCGGTCAGCATTGCTCACAATTTCGATGCGCTTTATTCATTTTTACCTCGCCAGTTACACATGCATTGCCTGCGCATTTATTTCTTTGGAGGTATCGTCCTACTGACTGTGCCTCGTTAGGTATCTTGGTGGCCGGCTTAATAGACACCGAAAATGTGTTGGTTAAGTTCTGACTGCACGTATGTAAAAGAGGTTATTTCTCTCTCTCTTTTTTTTTTTCGTCTTTTTCAAGGCGATATAAAAGGGATCCATCTCGCAAACTATCTGGCTGCAGCTTGGATGCTCACCAATCTTGTCGTAGTCTATCATCGGTCGCACAGTTAGCACTCTATCGTTTGCCATAGTGCTCTATGGCCAAGCTTGGAACTTGCGCCGTTAAAACCCACAGATCATGATCATCAAGTAAAGTTTGTGCTAGTTGAAAAATACACCAACACACGTAAAAGCATAACTTATTAGTACTAATTGAAAACATACAAACAGTTTTTGTTATCTTATAATATTACACTCTCCTGTGGGATCACATGGTTGGATGACTCACAGCTGCGGCTAAGCATTTCCACAGACATTTCATACTTTGCTGGCATAATCGCTACTATGTAATCTATGTGAGAAGTATGTTCGCTAGCGATGCCCAAAACTGGTTAGGGGTCCTGTAATTTGACCCTGGAAATAAGTTTCGCAGGATCTGGCAAAGTGGCAAACAGGCTATGAAAGAGATTATTGACAGCCACGTGTTTGTACCAGAAAGCCACAAGAATATCCATATGGATTCCTTAGAACATAAACATTCTAGTTGAAGTGAAATTTGTCCTGGTCTGGTTATCGAACTTGTGACCAATACCTTTCTGCTACAAGAGCTGACTTTTGGCCTTGTTGGTAGAGCATATATGAAGTATTTAGTGCAGATTCATCAAGATGGGACAAGACGAAGGGAACACACGTACACTTTGTTTGTGGAAAATTGGCACCTTTGTACGTGTGTTCCTTGCATCTGGTGCCGTCTTGATGAATCGGCGCTAAACACTTGAGGCTTGTGGTTCAGTCGCCCTACGAATTCGAACTAACTGGAATGCTGCGTGAAGAAAGTTGTCAGTTATTCCTTTTCAATTTCACTTGTTGGATGCTTGAGTCAAATCATGTAGTCCCACAGGGGTTTCATTAACAACATAATCGACTGTGCCAGTGCCGATTCAACAAACTTACAGTTACGCCGCACGCTGTGCTCTCAACGGATATCACTGTAGCGGCAGCATGGATGGCACGTGATTGGCCAAACGTGCCGTCGGTTCACCAAACACCATGCCGGCCACGAACCTGTGGGCGGTGGACAGCACGGGGCGGGTGCACACGCTGTCCACTGCGGGATCTCGGTGGCAGGAGCTACCTTACTCCGGTGTCGACTTGAAGCGGGTGTCGGCGCTTCCAAGCTGCGCCTGGGGCGTCGGAAGCGACCACCAGGTGTACATGTACCTTCCCCAGAGCGACGTGCCCATCAGAGTCGCTGAGGTCACTTACGAGAACCAGGTTAGTCTGCTTTTCGACCTCCCACCGACTCTCTGACCTTCCATGGAGAGGCCTGGCACGTCCACACATTTTGCACCACCTACTACTGTGTGATGCTATGAGCAGTAAAGTGCGAGAACTAGACAACGTGGACGAAAGTTGACAAATGAATATCGTTGGGATTCTACTGCCCCTTTGCGACACACATTATGATTGACTGTCTGTATATTCGTGAAATTCAAATAATTTGATGCATATATAGACTCTGTATCATGTATAAGAAGCAGGAGCATTAGAACTAAGTATTGAATATTTGGCGGCATATAATTGTGATTACAATGTAAATAATTGTCTAAATATAATATAGCCCAACATACTATATTTTTTAATTGGCCAAATTCAACAGCCCACTTGCATCACATGCAATAATTATCTGCTGGGGACAATCATTCATAAAGAGGTAAAAAAATTATCTTTAAATTTCTGCTGAAATACCCTACAATCAACATCTCGTGAAGTATGGTACTTGCTGCGCCAAAGCGATTGTGTTTAGCAATGTATTTCAACCAGAAGTGATGTACGGGCTAATTAGGTTATGAGAATTCTTAGTTTATCATTAGCTCAGTATTTGCAGTTTCTCCTTTGCCGACAGTGCGCATAAATTGTAAAAATAAGTCGCGCACTTAGCAGAGGATGCTATGTCAAAAGGGTTAGCCTGCAGTAAAAGCTTGCAAGTTCACATTTCGTGGAACCGAAAGAACTGTCTGAAGTAACCTAATGCCAAATTATCAAAGTATCAAAAAAACGATGAAAAAATGTTTGTTTCATCAATGTACTTTCACTTTTTTAAGGCATACCTAAATTCAGTAATTATATTGCTGAAGAACAGTGCAAAAAGAGCGATTTTTTGCCATTTATGACTTAGTTCATGGTAGGAACGAAGCTCAAGACTGTGTGTCTTGAGCCAAAATGTGCTCTGAAACCAACGTGATTGTGTGTGATGACCACGTCATATCGAAAGCATGCAGGTACATGGGCTGTCCGCAAACACTGTTTTTACTGCTTTGTGCTACATATCTGTGGCTCATCGTACCTGGCACACTGCGAGGATCATCTGAATTAATCGAATTATGGGAAAATATGCCATAGAACTATTTATATGCTGGCCGGGGCTGGGGAACGCGTCCGGATCAACGAGTGTCGAATTCACGAGCATTTACTGTAGATGTTGTACAGTGACAGCTAAAGAGTCAACAGAGATCAAACTATGGAGGTGGGAGACATGCTATCTGCATCGTCCGTTCTCTGTACTTTCCAACCATTGGCATCTTGGAACGCTAAATAGCCCGAACCACCACCTTTGTATACTACTGCAGGTTAGCTTAGGTTATCCGCAACAAAGCGCCCTTGCTTTTTTTTTTCTGAAATATTATCTCTGAGCAGATATAGCATGTGTGTAGAGTTTTTAAGGCACACTGTGAGCTAGAGTACTGTAATATATTTTTCTGCCGCAGTACTGCCAGCATAACTCACTGCTAGCCATAGGAGGAAGCCGAATTTCAGTTGGGAAGTGCAGTTGTGCTTCATAAAATGTTGGGTGCTCAGGAGAAAAAGAAATTTTGAATAGCGTGTTGTGCTGCACATTGTCGTGTCCACGGTATTCTCACAAAATTTTATAATTTTGCAGATTGACAGTTGTACCTATATGAAACTAAAGTTCATATGCTTGATTGATTGATTTATTGGTTGAATGAATAAATAATTGATTGATTCATTCAATGAATGAGTGAATATGGAGTTCCAGAAAACTTCTCATTGGGCGTGTTCATATCCATTCATATTAAAACTGCTCTAGGCACAAGGTACACACAGACCACAGGACAGAGAACCACTTATTGGGACATTTATTTGGCAGTTATTATATCGCACTTGGTGCTTGAATGCACAGTTGCTCCACAGGTGCAACGCCGGGTACTTACGTAAGTGGTTTCTGTAAAAAAAATTAAAAATCTTAAGCAACCTTAGTGCAAGAATTGGGGAACTGAGAGTGGCACTCACACCAGTTCCATCTGTTCTGCGTACGTTTCTTGCATTTGTTTTTCTTGTGCCGCTGAAGCCATGCAGACAGAAGTGCATGGACGAGATCTGATTTGTTGGGTGCCCCAACAAGGTCCATTCAAAGAGCTTTTGAGATATAACTGCCGTTTACACAAATCTCTGCTAATGATATGACTCTAATTTTAACTTATGACATACCTCAGTCATATACAACTTTTAACCCAATCCATCCGTCTTATATACCCCCAAAATTCTGAATGGTAGCCCCTACGTGAGCAAGTGTTCTGTTGCCCTTTTCGGGAGATTTAACATATGCGCCAATTGCCAATTTTTTTACTCGTTCTCCGCTACAGAATCCTGAGGCAGCAATTTTTAGGAATCTAAATTACGAGAGCCCTCAGAACTGTACACAATTTTCTAGTACTTTATGCTGTAGTTTTTCTGTGTTGCATTCTGAGCTGTTACGTATTGTTGGTAAGTGTGAAGAACATCTTTCCCTTCTTGTCACCATGCATGAATTTGCGCACGAGGATTCCCTCCGGTTCAGTAAAAACAGTAAACGCATGCGTATTCAATGAAACACATCATTAGAAGTGCAGGTGTGCATTCTTCTTAGAGGCTTTTCCGCCGCCATCTTGAATTTCGGTCTGTAACTGAGCAAGGGCTTTCTTTATATATCGCTTCTGATTGTCTTTCACCATAAGAGGGGTGCTTGCTCGTGATCTTACGTTATCTTTTTAATTTCATCTGGGTTTTCGGACAACTTGCACTAGTGTTAGACAGGGCGCTCATGTAAGATAGCAGAGAGTATCACTCAATACTTGTGCCACTGATGAGGTAAGCTGGAGTGCTGCTCTGTCCCATCGTGTTCTCTTGTTGTGGTCTGTGTGTTTTCATCACCTAAAGCAGTTTGATAAGATGCAGAGATAGTGGTAGTACCCTTACCGTTGTACCTCTGCAGCGTTGGAACCCCAAAGATGGCTTCTGTGCCCGCCTCCTGCCCACTGACCGGCCTTCTTGGAGCAGCCGGGACGGCCTCGTGGCCCGGTACAGGGAGAACATCCAACTGCCATCATTGGGATGGCAATGGGAGGGGCGCTGGTACCTCGACGACAACATGGATGGCCAGCTGCTTGGGACTGAGGTGCGAAGCGACGGCATGTGATTTAACCGGAAAGGCAATCCTGTTCCTCACTGTGCATTCAGACAACAAATTAAATCACTCTTTATGTCTGTGAGCTCATTGTTGTGTTACCCTCCACATTTCTACTTTGATATTGCAAGTGGCTATCCAAGTCCGTGGACAATCCAAGTGGAAACTGTTCCGTGTACTAGATAGCCCGCTGATGCCAAAAAAATTTTGACAAACCAAACATTCTCACCATGGGCTGTCCATGCACTCATAAGGATCTCAATGAGACTCTTTTTAGTGGTGAAGCATTTTAGGGTCCCAGTGTGTCGGCATGCATCGACCGTCGTCTGCTGCTGTCGTCGTGGTCGATTTGCTCGAGCGCAAGAGAGAGGCCGCCTTCTCTCACCACCACTGCCGCGCTTGCCACGTGGCGAGAGAAGGCGACAGCGCGCATTTACCATGGAAACGCTCTCTCGGCCCCAATAAACGACACGCGGCACAACCGTTCACAGGCCACACGGTATATAGAGACACTGGATCTTGACGTGCTATGTAGTGCCGGTGGGAGATTCTTCTTGTGCATAAGTTGAACGAAAATTTGCAGCGTGCGCCTTATCTAAAAGCAGACGGCATTCTTCGCTCCTCCACAGGTTTCACATTAGTGGAGCTTCGCCCCTCCAGTTTTGTTGCTCGCGCACGGCTCGCTGCCATAGGCACACTTGGCGCGGCTTTCAGGAATGTCTCCGTCAGTGGGCTAGGCTGAAAGTCGACAGCGTGCGACAAGCTACACACAGAGGGCCTTTTTCTTCATTTTACACAGCAGAGCATTCCAGCAGTTGCTCAAGTTCGTTTCTCATTGAAAACACACGCGCTGCGTCATTTGTGGTTGTAGCCGGCTTCAACCCAAGCTTCGTCTCTCTTATTTCGGATTGCACCTTTCTTGTACAACCCAAGCATCCAAGCCTTGTTGCTGGAGTCATTTTACCTGGCTATCTACTGATTGTTCTGTCATCTGTACACATCTTTACTGAATGCAAAGCAGATGTGTAATGCAGTTATGCTTGGCACGGTTGCTATTTTGGTACTTTTGCTTGGCTGTTCGCACACCCATCTATTTTCTTAAGCTTTCTGCTGTGTTCACCAATGCACATTGAAACGTAATGGCAACGAACAATTTGGCGAGTGTGAGAGGGATAAGCTGTCCAGTGAGTAATTTCAGCATATTCAAGTATGGAAACTACCTCTCAAAGTTTGCAACAGTCCTTTTTTTTTTACTTACATTTGAGAAATGTGTTGACAGTTTTATTGCTCACCATTCTATGTTATATGAAGTGAGGCTTGTGTTAATTTGTATTGTTCCATAATGATACTCTTAATCACACACAAACTACGCACAAAGAAACCATCACACAAAAGGGTACAACAAAGAAGATAAGTGCTAAGTTCAAGTGTTAGTTTTCCTGACTTGAGTGTGTGCTTTTATTTGTTTTGCTTTTTTTATTGCATGCTTTAAGCCAGCCGGTTTAGTTTAGTTAGAAGTTGGCACTCATCCTGTCTGCCCTGCCTTCTCGTGCTGTCGTTATTTTGCACTTCAAGCGTAATCATGAAATATTCATTTGCCCAAAAGTCTGTGTAAAGAGTGGCACGTTTGCCAAATGTTACATCGTTACAGGGCTGGACTTATTCCGTGGACTTCCCGTTCACCTACACCCACGACAAGCACTGGAATTCGATGGTCCGCCGACGCAAGTGGATTAGATATCGCCGCTACGTTGCCACTGACCGGTGGGCTGAGGTGAGACTTGTTGTTCATCTATCATGGCCTGTTCTGTCAGTCAGGTATACGATCTTGGTGGAGCATTTCAAAAATTGGTTGTTTTCAGTAGAGTGATTAATAGTTCGGACGTTGACTAGTGTAAGGCCTCGAGTTGGGTAGATTTGATGGCTGTGAGTAGCTCGAAAAATAGTTTCATAACAGTACACTAAAGGGAATGCTGGCGCTAGTTTTTGTGTGAGGTGCAGGCGTGGCATTTCAGCAAGCATTAGAAGGATGGATAGTGCATCAATTTGCATAAGCTTAATATTTTTTGGCTTCGTGGAGCAAGTTATACCCTTCAGCTGCTTTGTCTAATGAAAGGTAATGAAATCGTCAGCATTCCAACCTCACCATCTTGAACCTTTATCAATAGGCCTTTTCCGTGCCAGAACAGCACCTTCAGTGGGGATCGCTAAACTCGAAACTGGCAGCCCTTGGCTTCCAAAGTTGTCCATGGTGCACCGGTAGACTATCTCGGAGGCCTCCATTCGCATCTTTCTGTGGGAAAACACTCGCAAGTTTGTCACACAAACTTCACTTGTTCCGCACCTGTCATTGTGTTCTGGCCACCACAAACCATGGTGCGTGCCTTTTCGACACTGACGTGCATGCGCAGACTACCAATCCTTGAAATACTCATTCAAATCGGCTTGTGATGTTTACAATAAGCCTTGTTTTTTATCCGAAACAAAAGTCAAAGCACAATTATAAACAAAATCACGATTGCATTTCAAGGTGCAAGTATGTAGGACTGGCAAATCTGTGCAGTACCCAAGGTTCCTGTGGTGGCTGAGTGATTGCAGTGTCGCAGTTCTCTCTAGCAAATATTGTAAGAAAACTGTGCCGTACGAGGGTTTACTGGTCTGCTACCTGCTCCTGAAGTTCGTCTACTGCGTGACATCACCTGGCCAAAAGAATGATCCGCATTTTTCACTATCTCCTGAAGTGGCAGGGGCCACGCCAGTGCTAAACCTGGCACCCTGTAACCCTGGCAGTGTTTGCCAGGGTTACTACACTCAAACCTCGTTATAACGAAACCAGATGTAACGAAATATCGGTTATAACGAAATACATAAAAAATAGTGTTGCAATAGATGTAGTGTTAAAAATAAACCTTTATAGCAAATTTTTGGATATAACGAACTTATTTTCATGTAAGATGCAAGTTTGTTATAATGAGGTTTGAGTGTATTTCACAGACGCCTGCGGAAGCATATGGTGGAGTGGCAGCTGCTGTAGCACGATTCGTAGTGCACTGTGTGGGTTACGCAGAGGTTGCGGGTTTGATTCCCACTGGTGGGAGGTTCCCCATTTCTCAGTTTCCACCAGCTCCCATGCACTGCTGAAATATTCATAATGTATAACTGTCTTTGTAAAATGTCCACGAGTGATGTAATGCCGTTTTGTTGCCATCATCACTGCTGCCAACCTGACTGCACCCGCTACAGCGTACAGGCCTGTACCATATTTCTCTATTTGACCTTGTTCTGTGCTTGCTGTGAATGCAGGTCGGCATGGTATTGTGTATGGTTTCTATATTCGCTAATATGCCTGTTTGGTACTTTTGCAGCAAAACAAGAATTTCTTCAACAGAACTGCTGGAACAGCTGTCTTATGTGATTTGTTTCAGGCTACAATTTTGCAACCCTGTGCAACTCTCACTTACTTGAACCCCTTTTAAATTAAATGCATTTTTCTGGTCCCTCCAGATTCTGTTCAAAGAGAGTCTACCGTATGTGTGAGTCATGTGAACCATGTGACAAATCTGTCATCTGTGGCGAATATATATAAAATTTGATTGAATGAGTGGTTGTGTGAGCGAGTGATGTGAAATTCAGGGCTAGAACGTTTTGAGAGAGGCACTTTCGACTCACTCTTTCTCCGCAGATTGAGGGAATTCATTCAGACCCTGTCCAAGAACCGGTTGTTGACGTGTCCATCGGTGGCGTGGAAATTCCGGGTGGCGACCCGGATCGCATTGCCGTGTGGGTCGTCACCGTGCTTGGAAGGGTGAGCTGTTCGCTTGATCCTAAGCGTATGCCCTTACCTTGACTTGAAAAATCTGAATATAACAAATGATTTCTTACAATGAATTAAGTGCATGCAGAATGCAGGACACCCACTACCTACTATAGTAGAACTCCTTCATAAAATACATTCAATGCGGAGCAATTCTGGTCCATTATATGAGCAGTTTTTTATAAGCAGGGTGCAATGTCGGCCTTTTCTTATGGACGCCTATTTCAACTAGATAATACTGACGTCTCTTATGCCCGAACATCTATATTACATCAGCGTCTCTTATAAAAAGGTTAGACTGTAAATCGGCAGATTTTACAAAGTAGCAAAGCACTCGCTACACATTTATAAAACAATACGGGGACTTGCATAACTGCGCAATCAGTTGCTGCCCCTGTTTTACCATTTTGATGCTGAATTATGGTTGAGCTTTTCGCAATAAGTTGAATGTCAGTTACATGTAACAGAATTCACAGGGTGCGATGCCTGGTGGGGTTATATTTTTCTACACAATATTATAACTGTTAACGCGTTTCCTTGCTGTACATTGCACTTGTTTAGTGTCTTTTCCCGAAAATGTTGCAAGCATCGCCATGGCTCTGTGGTAGAGTGGTGTCTTACCATGTGGGAAGCTTAGGTTCTGGACCCTTGGAACCCTGTTTTTTTTTATGTGCGTGTTACCTTTGACGAACATGGTGACGGGGGTGGACAATTTATAGTAATTGTTGAACTTTTGCATTCCAAAATCACGACTTGATCATGAGAGACACTGCTGGGAAAGGCTCTGAAAATTTTGGCCGCCTGGGGTTTTTCAACGTGTACGTAAATCTAAATACACAAGTGTGGTGGCTGGAATTCAATCTCGTGAGGTGGCGGCGACCCAGTAACTGAAATATGCTGTTGTGATCTCATAACAGGTTACGCTGTATAACAGGGTCTGCTTGATTGGACTGCTCTTTTGAATGTTAAGCAGCACCCCTTTAATGACATTTTGTGTCAAACCGGTCTTTCGAGCATTGATATTAAAGAGTGTGACGCCTCCCTGTATGTTTCTTGACGTTGCGTTTTTATTGACTCAGCCTGTCAGCTTACGGTGCACCGGGGTTTCGTGGTTACAATCATTGCAACTGCACTTTTGCACGCAAGCGAAGTGAAGCCTGTCATTCGCACTGGAGGTACTTGCAGTCACTGTTGCCAGCTGTCTGTGCTTATGCGCACAGTGTTACTAACCAGGGCCGAAACTAGGAGGAGTGGAGGGCGTTCTAACATCCCCCAAAATTTTTTTATGCTTCAACATTTTGGGTGACACTGAAGTATTTACACACATTCACATCGAACACGAGTTGTCAAAGTTAGTCGTCCTCGTAAACACATCGCGAAAAAAATTTTTGGGTACGTACGGTCCTGTTAGTGAGACAAAATCGACTCACTATCTCAAACCCATACTTCCAGGTGTTCTTCCGTGAGAACGTCACACGACACTGTCCCGAGGGCACCTCCTGGGCTTCCGTGCCGGTTCCCCCAAACTCCGAGGTCAGCCAGGTCTCGGTTGGCCGCACCGGCCTGACCTGGGCGGTGGCGTGGAACGGGAACGCACTAGTCCGCCTTGGCGTGTCCCGCTACAGTTACATTGGTGAGCTTGGTGGCCCACTTCGGCCAACTTACCTCATTTCATTCAGTAGTTACTGTGAATGACCAGTTGTTGACTGATAACTTCAGCAGTTTTGTGAATTTTCGGTGTTGAACAAACGGAGTAATTCTTCTGCTAGCCTGTGCATGACATGTAGCAGTGTAACCTCATCCCCGTCTTAAACTATTCTTTTGGGAACAGTTTGACACCACCCCGCAGGGGCACCTGCGCAAGTGGGCGTTTGGTGTGTAGCGACACCACGGACCCGAGCTAACGGGAGAGTTTTGACTCCCTCCCACGCCTAGCCGTGTGTGGCTTTGCCGTGTCCGGGGAAAAGGGGATCTTGGGGGTTGAGCTGACGCTGGGTGGTTGGACCTCTAAGGCCCCCCGGCAGAGGCAACACACCTCATTGGCCCCGGTTTCACGTAGACGGCACACCTGGGCTGACCCACCCAGGGGAAATCAGCAGTCGCCTTTTCCTATCTCTCTCTTCCTACATCTTCGTCTTTATCTCTCACTTTTTATCTGTCCTGTCATCTTCTGTTTTCGGTTTACTTCTGAATTTCCTGGCGGCGAGGGTTAACCCTGTGTAGTTACCCAACCTTGGGTAGTTATATTCGGTTATAGCGGTGATGCATGGCTGGCGTCTCCAAGTGTTCACTAGTCAACCGTGTAGCGTCCCCTTGTTGGGCTCGGTGGTGGGTGGCCACCATCGCCGCCGAACTTTATAGTATTTTTATGGCAAAAGCTTTTCCCCCCCTTCCTGATCGCTCCCTAAAAAGGTGGCGCACCGAAGACACTTTCTTGCCTAACACACCAAAGCCGACATTCCCAAAGTACCATGTAATCCACAGTCAAAACGAAAAGAAGACAGTCCGAGCCATTTCACCTTTCCTCATTTCCAAAACTCTCACAGAAGCAATAAGCCCAGGCTATAAAGTGACAAAGATGGGAAGTGGCGATCTTCTTCTGGAGGTTCGTGACAAAGCTCAGTATGAAAAGCTGTCTAAGCTTGTAGCCTTTGGGGCAACCCCTGTTTCGGTGGGCCCACACTGGTCTATGAACACTGTCCGTGGCGTAATTTCCGATGATGATCTTTCTGAGCTTTCTGAAAGTGAGCTGCTCGAAGGTTGGCAGGACCGAAACGTGGTCAAAGTCCAACGAATAACAATAAGGCGCAACAACAGACTGACCCCTACAAAACACGTAATAATTACCTTCGGAACAAGTGACCTACCAGAATCAATCGAAACCGGCTATTGTAAGCTCCGTGTAAGACCATACATTCTCAACCCTCGTCGATGTTTCAAGTGCCAACGTTTCGGTCATGGATCGCAGAGTTGCAGAGGGCGTGCCACTTGCGCAAAGTGCGCATCCATTCAACACATATCGGACAACTGCACCTCTGAAACAGCTCATTGTTCGAACTGTGAAGGAGATCACGCTGCCTACTCACGATCATGCCCCGCATGGAAAAAAGAGAAACAAATTGTAGAACTTAAAGTTAAATTCAATCTCTCATTCCAAGAAGCACGCCAACGTTTCGCAATACACAACCAGTCTTATCCCTCCTTTGCCGATGTGACGCGCCGGGGCGCCGCGCCACATGTCCCGGCACCCGCGAATGTCACATAGTGTGTGGCCGCGGTCGTGCCACCAGCGCCCCCGGCTGGAGCAGCCTGAACTGCTCCGCCACCTGACAAACAGGGCCGGCAGACCCCCATGTCTGCTGAACCTCGGACTACTGCAAGCGCAGTTAGGTCCGAAAGTTCAGTGAATGTGCCTGCGCAGCAGGCACCATCCACCACCTCACAAGAGGTGATGGATACAAGTCCCACTGCTCCGGCGCCTCAGATGCCATAGGCGCAACTCCTTGGAGTGCGCCAAAAAAGAAAAACCTCGAATCACAGGGCCCCCAAAAAGCCCTGTAACCTAACGCAATACCTTTGTACACACAGCACCACACTACATTAAATGACACAAATACTACAGTGGAACATCAGAGGACTGTTGAGAAACCTCGACGATATCCAGGAATTTTTACACAAACATACACCTAAGGTGCTGTGCGTACAAGAGACACACCTGAAACCTAAACACACCAACTTTTTACGTCACTACGTTATCTTTCAGAAAGACCGGAATGATGCCATTGTGCCATCCGGTGGTGTTGCCATTATAGTTAATCAAGGGATTGCATGCACACACCTACCACTACAAACATCCCTTGAGGCGGTGGCTGTTCGAGCAGTTCTTTTAAATAAGCTCGTCACCATCTGCTCTCTCTACATACCTCCACGACACCGTCTTGAAAGGCATGAATTCGAGTCCCTAATAGACGAACTTCCAGAACCTTATATTCTCCTTGGAGATTTCAATGTATTGTGTGGTCCCTTATGCCATATATTTAATCATGCATTTTCCTCTAAAACTTATCCTAGTATACTTAAGACCGCCAAAGTAATACCAGTGTACAAATCTGGTGATCGGAATCTTCCGGACAGCTACAGACCAATATCTGTTCTGAGTAGTATTAACACTACGCTTGAAAAACTAATATCGTCGCAATTAAGGCGCTTCCTGGGTGAACAGAATGTACTTTGTCCCCAGCAACACGGCTTTGTTGCAAACAGGTCCACTTCAACTGCTGTTTCGATGCTTACGCAATATATTAATTCCGCGCTACATGAAAACAACATAGCAATAGCAGTATTTTTAGACATACGAAAGGCATTTGATGCTATTAGTCATTCCATTTTACTGGAAAAAATGCATTCTTATGGGATAAAAGGTAACTCGCTTGATTTTTTTTCTAGTTATCTATCGGCACGCAAACAAAAGGTAGTCATTGGTGACATCAAATCATCCTACGGTTATATTAAATGCGGGGTGCCACAGGGTTCAGTTTTGGGCCCTATATTGTTCTCTCTTTATATTAATGATGTCCCGCGATCCCTACAAAGGTCAAGGGCACTGATGTACGCGGACGACACTGTTTTAGTTTTCACAGGACACTCCTTAGCAGATTTACAAAATGACGCGATGACCGATTTATCGAACATTTCGGAATGGTTTGCCAGGAATCAGCTGACTGTTAACTGTACTAAAACAAAGTATATAATGTTTCACTCTCGTAGGAAACATATTGACGCTGAATCTCTTAACCTAACAATAAACAACACTCCTATTCAACAAGTTCCTTGTTTTAAATATTTAGGCGTCACTTTTGATGAACACTTACACTGGCATGAGCAAGTACAAAGTGTGTGCGCAAAGCTAGCCTATGGCTGCTATTCTCTAATAAAAGCTCGCCAATATTTTCCACAAGCTATTCTCCGCACACTCTACTTTTCATTGTGTCATTGTCACATAGGTTACTGTCTGGAATCGTGGGGTGTGACGTACAACAGTTATCTAAAAACTCTTGAGCGACTTCAAAAGCGTACACTGAAAATCATAAGCCAAGGTGAATCAGTAAGTAATATTTTCCAATCACAACGCATTCTCTCAGTTCCGATGTTGCGTGACTACAAAATTGCTGTTTCAGTAAATAACATAATTAATAGAAATTCACCTTTGCCTGCTGATCTTTTTTCAATTCCTAAACGCAATACGCGACATGCTTCGAATGGTAATTTCAATCTGCCCAAATGTTTTAATGTTTACGGAGAAAGACTGATACAGTTTAGTGGAACAAAAATATGGAACACGGTCCCCCTAGAGATTAAAACGGCACGTAATTTCAGCATGGCATGTAAATCATTTTTTCTGTGGAGTCAAGACATGTAAGCATGTGTGTGTGATTCGATTTTCATTGTATTTTTTTAATAAGTGCCTATGTATAGAAACTAGCTGCAAGCTAATAAGTATGCATATCTGCAAGAAAAAATGTATTACTGTGTTATCTGTATCACATGATTGTTTTTTTATGTTGTTACCTCAGAGCTGACCTGTACACTTTTTTATGTTGCACATTGTATTGGACCGTCCACTAGCCACTTTAGGCTATCGGTCCAAATAATCCCTGTAATTGCATATATCTATTTATGAAAATAAAGCTTCATTGATTGATTGATTGATTGAATGCACATAGCAATTTATGGGGTGACTCTCGCTGCGATGCTCGAAGTCGCCTGATTGAACAGCTCCTTTTTTCTTCCGGTGCATGCCTCCTGAATCGGAAAGAGCCAACAAATTACAACATCGCTAACAATACGTACTCAGCAATAGACCTCAGCATAATATCCCCATCACTCCTGCCTCTACTTAAATGGGAAGTCATTAATGATCCATATGGTAGTGACCATTTTCCTATCGTTATCAGCACATCAATAACAAATACATGTCCTGCACAAGTTCCCAAATGGCTCACCAACAAAGCCGATTGGGAAAAGTTTCAAGAAATGACTGTATTATCTTGGACTGACGTGACGGTGTTGAGCATGGAGGATGCTGTATGCTACTTTACAGCTTTCTTGGTTGATGCAGCAACAAAATGTATTCCCCAAACATGTGGACCGTCAAGCAAACAACGAGTTTCATGGTGGAATAACGAGTGCCGTGATGCTCGAAAAAAACAAAATAAGGCATGGAAGTTGCTTAGAGACTCGCCCACAACCGAGAATCTTGTAAACTTTAAGAACGTCAAGTCGCAAGCAAGGAGGACGCGCCTACAGGCGAGAAGGGAAAGTTGGCACAAATTTTTATCAGGCATTAACTCATACACAGATGAGTCAAGAGTCTGGAGCATGGTTGGTAAGGTAGCAGGACGAAAAGCACATTCACTTCCTCTAGTGAACGCACAAGGGGAGAGTTTGGAAGACCAGGCAAACACTCTCGGAGCGCACTTCGAACAGGTCTCCAGCTCAACACACTATAGTGAAGCGTTCCGACGATACAAAACCGCAATCGAAAAACAGAGATTAGAGCGCAAGCCCACAACACATGAGGCATACAACGAACTTTTTAGTTTGGCTGAACTACAAGCCTCACTTACCTGCTGCAATAAATCTACCTCAGGCCCGGACCGTGTGGCATATGAAATGTTAAAACACCTGCCCACTGAAACCCAGAAAGCTCTCCTCTCTCTTTATAATGTGATATGGTCTTCTGGTGAGCTACCCTCAGCCTGGAAGGAAGCTATAATTATCCCAATTCTAAAACAAGGCAAGGACCTGGCCTCAGTTTCCAGCTACAGGCCAACAGCATTAACCAAGTTGTATTTGCAAGGTCTTTGAAAAAATGATTAACAGGCGCCTAATGCACTTCCTTGAAATTAGTGGCCTACTTGACCCATACCAGTGTGGGTTTCGAGAGGCTCGGTCCACCACTGACCACCTTGTCCGAATCGAGGCACAAATTCGCGACGCTTTTGTTCATAAGCAATTTTTTTTTTCTGTGTTCCTCGATATGGAAAAGGCATATGACACTACATGGCGCTTCGGCATATTGCGAGACCTGTCACATTTAGGTGTGCGGGGTAGAATGCTGACAATTATCGAAAGCTGCCTGTCCAACCGTACATTCCATGTCCGAGTTGGCACTGTCTTATCTCGAGTATTTGTCCAAGAAACAGGAGTGCCACTAGGAGGTGTATTGAGCTGCACACTTTTCATAGTTAAAATGAATTCCTTGCACCTGTCTCTCCCACGAAATATTCTTTACTGCATATATGTCGATGATGTACAGATTGGTTACAAATCATGCAACATCTCAATGTGCCAACGTCAAGTTCAACTAGGGTTGAACAAGGTATCTCAATGGGCAAAAGAGAATGGTTTTATACTCAACGCGCAAAAGAGCACTTGTGTTTTGTTCAGCCGAAAGAGGGGCCTCTATCCTGACCCCAACATTGACCTGCATGGTCAACCTCTGTCAGTGAAGACCGAGTACAAGTTTTTTGGTCTCATATTAGACACTAAACTAACCTTCATCCCACACATCAAGTATTTAAGGGACAGGTGCTTAAAAACAATGAACATTTTGAAAGTGTTGTCACGCACTACATGGGGTAGTGACACGAAATGTCTAATGAATTTATATAAAAGCCTCGTATGCACACGCCTAGATTACGGTGCTATAATCTATCGGTCAGCAACACCATCAGCCTTGAAATTTCTCGACCCTGTCCACCATCTAGGCATTCGCCTCTCTACGGGTGCTTTCCGAACCAGCCTTGTGGAGAGCCTGTACGTGGATTCGAATGAATGGTCGCTCCACCAACAAAGATGTTCCCTGTCCTTTTTGTACTTTTTGAAGCTGAAGGCAGACAAGAAACACCCTTGCCATTTCACATATAATGATTTGTCTTGTTCTGGCTTGTTCGAGAACCGTTCTTCGTTTAGGCAGCCCTACGCGCTCCGTGTAAGGGGCCTGGCCGAAGAAGCAGGTGTGCCTCTTCTTGAACACAGTTTTATGGCTCCTGAAACATATCTGCCACCGTGGCAGTGGAAGCTTACAGACTGTGATGTCTCTTTTGTTGAAGTCACAAAGCACGCACCACTTGCACACATACATACATACTTCCTAGAACTACAACATAAATACACATGCCCTGAGTTCTTTACCGATGCGTCAAAGTCAAACACTTCTGTGTCATATGCAGCGGTAGGCCAATCCTTTTCCGAGGCCGGCGTTCTTCATCCTGATGCAAGCATTTTCACAGGAGAAGCTTAGGGAATACTGGCGGTCGTAAAACACATCAAACAAATAAAGTTACAAAAGGCGGTAATATACACAGATTCTCTAAGCGTGGTCAAAGCCCTGAAAAATCCTAAAAAACACAAGAACCCCGTGCTGGTGTCACTTTACTCACTTCTGTGCACACTCTACACATCAAAACAGCATGTCGTTGTCTGCTGGGTTCCAGGGCACCGTGAGATACAAGGGAACGTTTTGGCCGACAATCTGGCTGTTTGCGCGAATGACACTACTCCCAATGCATCAAAATCAGTCCCTGCACTTGACCTAAAACCTTTTCTAAAACGAAAGCTCAGGGGGTATTGGCAGAGCATGTGGGATGAACGCACAGATAATAAACTCCATGCTATTAAGCCGCAACTAGGTTATTGGCTGCCACTATCAAAATCACGACACACAGAAGTAATACTAACAAGGCTTAGAACAGGACATACACACTCTACACATTCATTTCTTCTGTCTCCCGGCGATCCACCATATTGTGAAAGATGTGGAGAGCCTTTTACGGTTCTCCACATTCTCGTTCAGGGCAATAAGCTAGATGGTCTAAGAAAAAAGCACTTTTTACTGCCCTACCGACAGCAGCTCCCTCTACACCCCGGGATGCTCATCGGTAGGGATCTGCTTTTTAAACTGCAAACACTTTTCACGTTTTTAAAAGATGTGCATAGCTTTCACCCGATATTTCGAGGTCATCCATAGCACGACCTCTATAGAGTGGTCGTGGCTGCGGTGACTACATCTTCATCATGGTTTTATTATCGTGACATATTTCCATCTGCTATCACTACACATATTTCATGCCACTGTCATGATTTTATTACTTTCATGTTTTAACCCGCGTTAGAGCGAGGAATTTTAAGGCCCCTTTACAGCCACGCATCATATCATTGTTCATATCTGTAGTCAATTGAAATGGCGCTCTTTGGCCATCAATTTGCCCTTGTGCCATTAAAAACTACTCATCATCATCAACAGTTTGACACCATGTTTCAATCCTCGCAACAGAGATTTTAAGGTCTTTTTTTTTTTAAGGAACCGAATGGACGGAAGTGGGCGCCCCTGACGCCGACGAGAAGTTGTTGCAAGTGGCCGTGGGCCAGAACATGGTGTGGGCTGTCGGAAGAAATGGAACGGTCAGTCGTCACTCTCTGTGCGCATGCTTTCTTATCACTAACCTGGCGTGGTGTTCTGTTGGTTATGGCACCCAACTGCCGACCCGTAGGTCACAGGCTTGAACCGCAGCTGTTGGGGCCACCCTTTTTCATGAACGTGAAAGTGTTAAGGGCCCTGTAGTAACTGTAATTAAACTCCTGCGAATATGTACATGAACCACGCATTTTTTTTCGTAAGAAGCTTCACAAGAATGCTTTTTAGCAGAGCCTGGGTGCTAGCCGATACCCCTCATCGGTTGAACATCGTTTGAACGCACATGGACTAACGTACATAACAAAGATTATGATAGAAAATCGGATGTCGTGACCTCTTTAACTGTGACTGCGTGTCGTTTATATGACTGTCTTCCCTTCAGGTCTGGTTTCGCAAGGGCATACGGTGTGACGACCTCGGCTGTCGGGCGTCCGTCACGGGATCGGGCTGGGTCAAGATGGTTGGCTCGATGGCCATGATCAGCGTAGGCCCCAATGACCAGGTGAATGAATGCCGTACACAAAGGTTCATTTCCATTAGGCTCACTTAAGGAATAAAAGGTCTATTCACTCATTACATTTAAGTAATGAGTGAGTGGAACTTTTTGTAGTTAAGTGTAACCCATACCTCGATATAATGAACACAGATACAGTAGACTCTCATTCAACGGAACTTGAAGGGACCGGGAAAAGGTGTTTTGCTTAAGAGGAGTTCCATTTACTGAGAGCTGAATTGGGGTGCAGTATGCAGGGATGAAACCAATCATATCAGAGGCAGTTGTTCCATTTAAGCAGCAGTTTTGTTTAAAAGATTTCCGTTTACTAAAAGTCCACTGTATAACAAATTATTTGTTATAACAAAGTAAACTAGTAGTAGTTTTGTTGTAGGTACAGAGTTACAGATATACTGCCACGCATGCTTATATTTGTTTATTGTTGCATAATGGGGCTTCACAAACAGGAAATTCTTACTACAGCTAGGCTGTCACAGATTCGGGTAGTTACTGGTGATGGAATGAGACAAAGACAAGCCTAGCGTCAGAATACATTTAATAAACACATGGATGCCACTCTAAAAATGTACGAAAATACAGGTAATCTGTAAAACGGGCCCTATTGAGATGTTTGGGAAACTTCAGAATTGTTTTGGACTGTTCTGGTAAGATTGTGAGCACTGCACCAGTGGTTGAGTTTATTGTGGAGCTAATGCGAGCCTTAGCAATATTACTGTCATTTTGGATTATTCATGTATCAAAGACGCGTTTTGCCATCAATATGAACAGGTATGTCCCCCAGAAATTAGGTTAATCCAACTACTATGTACTCACCACTCATCCACCGCAGTATTAGAAGGGTTCCGACTTTCTTTTTCTCAGGTTTGGGGCATCACTCGCGACGACCGCCAGCTCTGCCTTCGGACGGGGGTCACACTTGAGGAGGCCAGTGGCCGGGAGTGGAAGGAGATCGTGGCACCCCTCGGCAACGCTCCGAGCCGGACGGCCAGCGTGAGCTCGCTGACGTCCCTGGGCAGCCTCCGGCTGGCCACGCCTTCGTATGTGGGGGTGGCGGCGGAGCGCGGCGACAATCCGCCCCCGACACCGGAGCGCAAGAAGATGTCTCGCCACAGCTCGCACTCGGAGTCGCCCTGCAGTGACACTGCTTCGACGAGGCAACAGGCGAGCAAAAAGATATTCCGTAAAGCACTACAGTAGGCCCTCTATCATTCACACTCTGATAATGCAGACGTTCAGTTAATTCAAACAAATCTTGAATTTACTGTTAGTCCGCTATGTTTTTAATGCATCTTAAAGCCGCTAAATGCAAACTACCCCATTTGCATGAATTGGGGCAACTCAAACTTTTTTTGCTCAGAAATATCTGCTTCCCTTGTTGCTTTTAGCAGTACATTCACATTTCTATGTCCCTAACAGTTGCAAATAAAACAGATGGCCTGTCTACAAAACGGCCAAGAAAGCCAAGTCATGTAGACCAAGAATTGCTTGACTAAAAAGAAAATGACGATAAAAAATGAAGATTTGCTTTTAAGTGGGCCTAAAATGACTTGTTTGTCTGTGATAATATAACAGGAGAAGAAGCTGCTTCACTGCTATGATGATCACCTGGTGATTGATGTAACAGAAAGCGTCTGACTTAATTAAGGTTAAAGAACTGTCATTAGACCTCTTAGGTGAATCGCTGAAGTATACTTCGTCATATACTTAGAAATTTTGGCGCAACCTCGACTCACGCAGACACTCACACAAGCACACACTCTTACACCAGAGCAACACACACGACACGCAGCGCTCTGTGTGTTGCTCTGGTGTAAGTGTGTGTGCTTGTGTGAGTGTCTGCGTGAGTCGAGGTTGCGCCAAAATTTCTAAGTATATGATGTATAACCAACTAGCCCAACAACAAGTTTTATTAAGATACTTCGTCAGCAGACACAAAATGTGCAGCCATAAGTACAGTAGACACGAAATCGATACTGGTCTATAGACATAAACTCTGACCCGAGATCATACGATGTAAACTGTCTCCTCCAATAATCTGTTCATTGTGCAGACGGTCAGGAAAGATTCTATTGAAACATGAAAGCCCGGTAGATCTCTTGAGGCTGCTGGACTCTATTTCTTTTTTGAACAAGCACAAAATTCAGCTGTTGGTGCCAGATAATGAAGCTGTAGGGTGGTTTACGAGCAGTACTAAACTTACACACTACATACTGTCTTAATAATAATAATTGATGGAGTATATTGGCTTATGTACCATCTTAGGTGGTGTGTGGACTACACAGGAAATCGCGACAAGCGAAAGCTTAGACAGTCGGTGAAGTTTGTCGGTAATCTTTTTGCAGGAATCGACGGGCTCATCTCCAATGCATAACCCTGCTGTCTCGGCATTCGGCGACCTCTCATCTTGCATGTGAGTGTGTCAAGACGGGCTCGACTTGTTATCTAAAGAGGCTTGTTGAAACTTTTGGACAAGCACTAAACAGTGGTGAGATGGAATACGGCACGCGAGAGCTGATGGGAGGTGTTTTGGGCAGCTCTGATAGTTTCAACGCTCCAACAAGCTCAGTGTTCAGTTGTTCAGAAGCTTATGGTAAATGCATTCAACCCTCTGAAGGCCAATTTATTTTAGCAGAATGCATCCGAAGAATGTGTATTTTATTTATTTTAAATTCTTTTCAGACAAAGCTATATAATAAAAAAATAGTCTAAAATTTTTGGGGTGACTGTGTAGTGACTAAAGAGTAATTTGTTTTGTTGCATACAAGTAATTCACCCCTTAGTAAAAGCGGGATAAATTCTAAGATAAAAACTTGAACGACTGGTAAAAAATTGTTTTGAAATAAACGTCTCTGTAGTTCACTGATGTACAAAAACGTGTGAAGTGGAAACACGGCATGAGGAGGGGGGGGAGGAGCCACTGCTGGTCGAGTCAGCCTCATCTCGCCATGCGTGCTCTTCAGATGTCGCTCACTGCTCAACATCCGAGTATTTTAACCCGCAACTGACTCCTCGTGTGAAGAGCCGACATTCACTGAACCAGATTCTGATTTGGCGGTCGAGTGATGATTCTCGGGAATTGCAAAAGGACTCGCTTCCGGCAGAGAAGCTAGGGTGCATTTCTATAGCGCAAGCAAACTGCACAGGTGAGTGCATTTTAAAAAAAAATTAAACTAGTTGTGAGCTTGTCTGTAAAGTGTGAACAAGTCAGAAACGTATAATACCGTATCTACTCGCGTAAAAGTTGACGCCAATTGGAGGTGAGAGTTCATTACACGCGAGAAAAAAAGTCATTGGAGTTACAACAGCCGTAATTTCGCATGACGGTTTGGCTAGTCTTGACCCGCAAAATGCGCGACCAATTTTTTATTTGTAGCCTGAAGCTCTTCTTGTTTTCTCATGTAACAAACGCTTACAGATCGACACGGAAGTGTCGATCATTCGCTGTCTTTGCTCGAGCATATGCTCGACCAACTTAGACTCCGAAAAGCGGCCGTATAGCTAGTGTATCGGCCAAACGAGCCCCGCGCGTCAGGTGTTCAACTAGGTTCACTACGACTAACCCAACAACGAAAGTGCAGCGTCGGATGGCGGCGCACAAATGCTGTGGGTGCACGACACGCCGTGGGCGCAGTGCCCGTGGTTGCACTTTGAATGGCCTCCGAGACGGCGCGCGCTTCTATGCCGCACGTCCACCATCTCGGTCGCGATGCACTTTGTTTCTTGCTTTGTTTTCGTGCCGCTGTGCTTGGCTGGCACTATAAGCAAAGAGGTTTTTCCTGCATTCGATAGATGGCGCTGTGCTGCAAAAGGCGTGACTTTAAAATTTTGATTGACGTTGTCCCCGCTCGCGCTGCTCGATACTGGTTAGCATAAAAGTCGAAACTCTGTTTCGACTCTTATTGCATTGTTAGTTTGTGATATAATGGCTTGATGCAACGCTTTGATCGTCAATGGCACTGGCTATCAGAAAAAAAAAAAATGAACAGATACGTTAAGTGTTCCTAAAAAAAAAAAGACGGGGGGGGGGGGGGGGGGGGAGGAACCGGCAGAAGAACTAAATTCATATTAGCCAGTGAACTACTGTAGTAAAGCATACAATAAAAAAAAAACAAAGCATTGAGACGTCGGTGCAGGGAAACACTTCCATGTAATCCCGCAGTGTGGCAGCACATGCCAAGACAAATGATAGAAAAAGACGCGTGTTTTAAACATACAGGCAATCTCGTACCTATACGTCTTTGACCCTCTAAGGAATAATGCAGGGGCCCTGCTCGTTAAAGTGTTTGGAAAGTTCTTGATTTGTTTTGATTAAACTTTTTGAGTTTATGTATGTTTGGGCTGATTTTAAATATGCAGTTATTTTTCTAGTATGGCATGCAGATTTTCAACTATCAAACAATCAAGATACTTTTTAGAGGCAAGATATTTCCCGAGTCAAGACTTATGAAGCAGGCCAGGAAATCGTGCTTGTCTCAAATGGCTACTGTAAGCAGTAAAAAACAAGAACAATGTTAAAAATTTATTGGAGGAAAAGTTACAGTATGATGAAAATGCACGAGTGAGTGGCTGTCGCGGTAGGATTTCACACATGAGATGATGAATATACAATAACTTGTTCCTGTGACAGCTCCTAGACATGGTGTGTGGTTTGAGATTTCTGGCTGAAATATTTTTGTTTTAGAAGCAGTGGTCTTTTGACGAGAGTTCAAGTTTTCCGATGATTTTTTTTATTGTGGCACATTTTTCCTGGAAGGAATTCGACCTATCCGGACGACTGGCCCACCCGAGCAGTCCACGACGTTGTTGGCTCCGTCACGTGGTCTTGGGTCAGCGGCACCGCCTGCACCATCGACTTCCCCGGTGCCCTTCTCAACTGGTTCAGTCTTGCAGGTGTGTGGCTGACGATGTTTGTTTTGGAAAACACAGTGAAGTGGTTTCGGTTGTGTGATCGTTAGATCGTTTTGCGATAAATGCACAAGGAAGCTGTCAGTATCAACAGCCGATGCTAAGATTGACTCCTTAGATGGTTTACACTCAAAGCTTGATATAGTGAACCTGGATATAATGAAATACCGGCCATAACAAAGTAAATTAAAAATAGTCTTGCAATAATAGTAGTGTTAGAAAAACATTGATAACAATTTTTTCAGATATAACAAACTTATTTTTGTGTGAGATGAAACATTGTTATAATGAGGTTTGAGTGTATTTAGTCTTAGTAATTTTTTTTTCACCTGCATTTTTAATATTTTCAGTGAGTACATGCTTATCTATTGATTTACTTCCACTTATCACAGAACCACATAGTTTATTTTATGTCTTGTTTGTGTTTGGGTTAGTTATTTTGATGCCAAGTTTTTGAAGTGTAATTTCGGTTATTGGTTCTGTCATTGCAACATTAGTTTGCCTTCTATAATATGGGTGCGAATCAGTGCTAGCATTTCATTCTGCTTGCAGGCATGGGATTATTTTTGTCTGCAGCCTCGCTGTTTGCTTTCCAATTGTTTTGTCATTAATATTAATGTATTGCATGGTATGGCCAGGTATAGTGCACAGCAAGACCTGCTAAAGCGCAAATTAATGCATTTGAAAGTTTGCGCTTGTCTGTGACGTATCTGTCTCCCGCCATCATCCGAGCGTCGCTGCACTTATTGGCGTTTAGTTTAGTTGCTGTTCTAAATGGTGCGGTGGGGGGTCGCATCTGCAAACAGAGCGGCGAATCGCTTCGTGCGAGTTGAGTGAATCAGCTGCCGAATTCCTTCCAACACCGTCCAGGTTCCACGGCTGACGATGCAACCCGACACTTGGAGAATGCGCAGTGGCGGAAGCTGGTGCTGCGGCGTCTCCGGGACCGCCGAAAGAAGGAGACCGACGACTACAACTATGATTCCGCAGTCGAAAAGGTGACGTGACACTGTGTGATGAAGCTGCAGTAGTCCGCCTCCTTCTGGTGCTCTGGTGGTCCTTGTTAAAAAGCAATGAAGAAAAAACCATGCAGAAAAAAAAGCATTGCATTTCTTCAGTGATAGTGTGGCTTTGAAACTAGCAAACACCAAGTTATTGTGGTTTCGGTTAAGAAATAGTATGTATTCAGATATACTATTTTAAGCCCAGCTGAGGGCGAGAACGGGAGAGCGGCATGCCTTCAGTTTTTCTCCCATCAGAGTGAGACAAAACCAGAGGAATATAGGTTTGCAAAGTGTATGTTTGCCCGTGCTTTTATTCAGGTTTGTCACTGTTTCACGGAGCTCTTTTACTGTGACCTATAGATCACGCCTCTGCGTGCTTTAATGCGACGCTTTGCACCTTTGCCACAACGTTATCGTAGTGATTGCATGGGTGGGTCATTTTTTTTTTCCTAACGACTCGGCCAGTTCATCCTGGAGTGACTGTAGGTCTTCAGGTCGTCAAGAGCGCATGGCGAGGCCGTGACATTTTAGACCTTACATACCAAAAATATTTCAAAGGAGGTTTTGCTGCGAGGACTGCACAGCAGTTTCACTGTAGCCAGCCTACACGAAACCTGATGTCCCTATCTCATGTAGGGACATTGCTGTAAGCCCGTTGGTCGGAATTGAAGTTAGAAATGCCAACGCAGAATTTTATGCTGTTTCGTGCTGTGGATTTTTTCGCACAGTAGACTCTCGGTAAACACGAAAATTTCTCGAACGAAATTTCGCTTAGACAGAGCGACTGCCTCTGACATGGTTAGTTTGCTAGCTTAAAATGTTCATCGCCGTTCACCTCCGAGTAAATGAAGCACGTTCTCAATGGAACACCTTTTTTTCGATTACTTTGGACTTCGTTTAAGGAGGCTCTGCTGTACTCGCTTTCTTTCGTACTGGCAAAGACCAAAATGCGACATTTTTTTTGTGCTGCCTCGTCGTGCAGTCCACGTGGGTGAAGTCAACGACCGCGCAGCTGTGGCGTGACACCCACCCGTGCCAGTGGGTTCGCTGCCGCATCGAGCTAGAACGGCTCGGCTCGGAAGGGGAGGCGTGCGACCTGGCCATCCTGAAGTTGCTCTATCACCATGCTGGTTCGGACCGAAGGGTAAGGAAAGCGGGGACTGAATGCATTCGTTTGTGAAATGTTGTGGGAGGAGGCCAACAACATTTTTTTCAAAATGCAGTTAAACTCCTTTATAAGAGGCATACTCCTGACAGCAGTTCCTGGCTGTTATATCAGATACCTCTTTTAAACGGGGTAACTCGTATGCATTTTCTTATCAATCATTATTTTACTGCAGGCACCCTGGTGTCTTTTACATCAGTGTCTTTTGCAAAAAAGTTTGACTGTAACTATTCAATGGCTCCATTAAAGGAATTTATTGCCTCATGAATCAACCTCCCAAAAAACGGGGGTTAAAGATATCAGAGTTGAAATAAAGAAGAGGAAATGGACATGGGCCGGGCATGTAGCGCGTAGACAGGATAACCGCTGGTCATTAAGGGTAACTAACTGGATTCCCATAGAAGGGAAGCGGGTTAGGGGGAGACAGAAGGTTAGGTGGGCAGACGAGATTAAGAAGTTTGCGGGTATAAATTGGCAGCACCAAGCACAGGACCGGGTTAACTGGCGGAACATGGGAGAGGCCTTTGTCCTGCAGTGGACGTAGTCAGGCTGATGATGATGATGATGAATCAACCTCTGCAAACTTTTTTTTTAAAAATCGATCTGAGCACAGGTATGAGCAGAGTGAAAGGGTTTTTTGGGAGATGTACGCTCGAACCTCGACATAACGAACCCGGATGCAGTATAGACCGCTTATAACGTAAGTCGCGGGAGTCGGGAATACCCGCACTATAAGCGGTATCGTACTAGAACCAAAACAACCTTTTTCAAGGGCCGCACTTGCGCAAAGCGTGTTGAGCAGGCAGCTTCGGGTGTCCGAGAATCGAAGCATGTGATGCATGCTTTATAATGTTTAAAATTTTGAATGTTAGAAGAATTTAACGTCCAAAGGCACGCGTTGCAAATTAAATGAACGCGAAAGGGGGGAAGGGGTCTAACAAATGAAAGCACCATCGCGGAAATTCGCTGACTACCAGACCGCCGCGATTATTCCCATTACACAGAAACTATGTCGAATCACGTCCAGCAGGGCCGTACTCAGGAATTTTTTTCGGGAAGGGGGGGGGGTTTGCGTGTAGAACGGCTGCCATTTTTTAAGAGTTATACTGGCTTATTTTCGTGAATAAAACAAGTACATTGCTTACTTGTAATGATTCGATGGTACTTTTCAATTATTTGTACCCAAATAAAGAAACTGGTATGTCAACCTCAAATTCTGGTTAAAGCAAGAAATAAGTTTGGACAATAGCACCACCAAAGCCGGGCACACCGCGACCAACGGCTCCTGATGGAGTAACACAATGTAACCACGGTACAAAAACGGTATGTATGTGTTACAAGCTGCCACTCTAGCGTCGCCAGCGCAAAGTCGGCGACGGGAATGGCAGCAGGTTAGGTCGCTCTGTACGTAAGCAGAGACAGTGCAGAGATCAGAGACATATGTGGGGAAAAACAAAACTCTAGTGATATTGCAGCACTGCAGAGGAATCTAGTACAACACTTAATACAAACTAACAAAATACATATAAACTCAATAAATCAGCTTACAAGAGAGAAGTATTACAAACTACACAAAACTAACCAACAATAAAACTACAGATGAGAAAGTCCGAAGGTATAAACAGGTGAAGGGATACCTGTGATGACCGGCAGCATTGAGTCCACGACGATCGAATGCGAGAAGCCAGAGAGAGTTCTGGCACAACTGCGATGTCGGCGGTGTTGCTGCGCTCGTGTTTCCGGCAGGCTAGTGCTTGAAGCCGATCTCGGGCAGGTTAAGCTTACTCGAGATTTAAGTGCCGATGCCTACGTTACAGACGTTTATTTCGCGTCACAACTAGACGAATGGCTAAGTTTAGGTGGCCAGCCGACACGGAGCCACTACCACTTAAGGGATACTTCTTGATCTCCTTCTACACCATGTTGGTCAGCAACTAGACTGCTTAGCAAGGCGAAATCCTGCTCTTAAATCGACCTCCGTGTCCCCTGATTCTCGTCCTGGGGGAAAAGAGACCTCTACATGGGTCCAATCATGCACGTTTCATTGTTAGAAACTCCACCCTAAAAATATATTGACCACGTCCCTTTTTAATTAGGAGAGGGTCCTCAACTGAGCGAGAGTGACAACCTGTTGGGGTTCTCTCATACGGCTTGTCCACAAGCAGGTTTGCCCGTGGAAATGGTCAGTTTCCTTGGTTTCAGCCGGTGCGTCTTGCAGTCTACAGCTAGTTCGGGGTGCATCGCGGCCTTTGACGACCCTGCCGACGCCACCGTAGGTACAAAGGATCAAACATCGGCGACTAACGTTTGAAGAAGAACACTCCATTCAGTACTTCTCTGCACTAAAAGCCAGTACTTTCACGAGCGAACGGTTCCACCGTTCGTTAATGAGCGCCCGTTAATTTGCCGTTACGCCGGGTCGCAAAAATGGCAGTCCGTGACAGCATGTATGCAAGCAAACAAACAAGTCGCCCGACATTCCAATCTTCTTGTTACCGTTCGCACATTCTACTTGCTGGATAGTTTCCTCATAATTGCGAAAGGATAGGTGGGTTGAAGCTTGGGCTAGCTGGGTTTAGCTTTTAATTGACTCTTGAAACCTAGAGGGAAGTTTAAACGAGGAAGTTTTTCCTTCTCGGCAACTTGCAAAATTCTGTGAGGACTTGTTCTGGGGTCACTTGAAGTTCTCGATGGATGCTGAGCAGTGCTAGTCCTGTCAATCTGTCGTTGTTCATATGATTTTGAAGGTAGCTCTTCAGCCTTCTCAATGTGGAAAAAGTCCGTTCCGGGGTCGACGTCGACACGGGTAAAGTCGCCAGGATAGAAAGTAGGCTGTGGATGTTTGGAAAAAAAGTCGCGGTTGCACATCTCTAAGGCCTGTAAAGCACAAGCTGGGCGATTCTTTTCTTCAATCTGGCAGTATTTGTTCACCCACAGTGTGAACTCTGCTTCGATGACATTAGCCGAAGGAATATCTCCAAGGTAAAACTGCACTGCATCATCAATATCAGAAAGGCTAGCCGATGCGTAGAATTTCTGCAGCAGCATCTTAAGGCCAACTACGACCTTCTTATGGGCATAGAACCGGTCTCTTAATTGATTTTCAAAGTCAGCCAGCAAAGGCAAATACACATTCCTCCGGTAGTACTCTCCGGGAGTAGCAGAAGGTACGTTGCTTCTTTGCATCTGCCTTCCAGTGATGCGTGGTAGGGCCATCTCAACATTTGTGATCTTCAGCAAAGAGAGCGACTTCAGAAAAGTCTTATTAAATTCTGTTTCCGCACTAGCCCTTTTTATGGAAAGAGCGTCTATAACATTCTTTACGTGATCGCACGCTTGAGCCAAGTCACCGTCAATTTTTTGCAGAAACTTGCAAAGTGGCAGTGTCAAAGAGAAGAGGTCGCTACAGATCTGAAGCGAAACGATAAACTCGGGCTTCGTAATGGCATTGAGCAGTTGAGAAGCTTTTGATAAGGTATCAGATGACGCGGCCTCTTCTTCCAAATATTCGAGGAATCGTACAATAGGCACGTACAGTTCAAGGAAACGCTGAAGTGCATCGTGACTCTCTACCCACCTTGTTTGGCAAAAGGAGAGAACTTATTTTCTTTTTTCTTGTGTTAAATCATCTACTTTGTCTCGCAGTTGGTTCGTCCTCAGTGGCAAAGCTCTCACAAACGTACAGGTTGAGGATACAGTTCCCAAACAGTTGCGGATGCTGGGGAGTTTGCATGCGTGAAGCAGAGCAAGGTTCAACGAGTGGGCGCTACAATGCACGTACAACGCTTTGGGCGCTGTTTGACGAATGAAGGCTTGAACACCGTTAAGGTGGCCGCTCATTGATGCCGCGCTGTCGTATCCTTGCCTGCAAAGTAGGTTCAGGTCAAAGCCATGACCTCTAAGGCTGTTCAGGATTGTGCTCGCCAGCGCCTTGCCAGTGAGATCGTACACGGGAACGAAATCTACAAAATCTTCTTTACGAATGGGCACTCCCGACGTGTCGTGTCCAGCGTACCTTACACATAGGGAAATGTGGGCGGTGTGAGATATATCAGTGGCCTCGTCAGCTAGAACTGAAAAACACGAACCTGAGTTGACGTTTTCCACTATCTTTCTTTGTATGATTTTACCACAGAGGGTGATCAACTCATTTTGAATTTTTGGGCTCGTGTACAGCGCATTTGCCGGAGATGTTTCCATGTGAGCTCTCAAGGCGGCATCTCCACATTTTGCTCTCATCCTAAGCAGTGCGCGGAAATTTCCATCATTTCTGAATGGCAGCACTTCAGAGATATTTATAGGACCAGAGTCGTCTGTGCCGCGAAGCGGTACTTCTTGCCTGCCACAGAAAAGGATTGTTTCTATTATTGGCAGCAAGTTCTTGCGGTTTTCTTCCGCCTGCTTTTTAAGGCCGTGGTTAAGTTGTGTTAAGATGTCATGCTGTGAGCAGGACCGGACTGCTAAAAAGTTCTCCGATAGCGTTGTTGACATGGCAGGATAACTGCTGGATGCGTGGCTCTTAAAGGCGTCCATGGCTTTCTTGTAATTGGTGAACTCCTTAGTTACAAAACAGCCCAAGCGCTGGTGCTCCCCTTTTCCTGCACACTCGCTTGCGAAGACTATGCAATATTTGCATAATGCTCCATGAAGCTTCTCTGAATAAACAAGCCATGGGTAACGATCTACCCAGTGAGGTTGGAACTTCAGATTTCTTTTCCCTGTGGCTGGATAATCACAGTTAGCCGGAGAGGTCCACGGATTAAGCAGCAGCTTCTTCATTGTCTCTGGATCATTTACATTATTTATTGCTTTTCGAGACAAACAGTCGCAACTCGAAAATATTCGCACTTGTCGCACAGAGGGGAGGCGAACCAGAATGTGTAGGTGCCATGCCACTCACCTTCCTTGGGCATTGCCCAGTTGTAAAGGTGTCACTTTGCCCAGCGTTGACTGTAGAACAAAGATCACTTGGAGTTGCACTGCGGCCACCGTCATTTCCCGGCGGCGCATGGGTGTCCTGCTTGTGTTCGTTCTCAGGTGATTCATATAAGCCGGTGCATTCTCCTGAGTCGCTACAGAAGTTCGGACGCGCTTGGCTTTCCACCAGTGCTGAAAAGGGCAAAGTTTTATCCTTCGAAGGAGGCGGTTCTTCTCCGTCCGCTTCATCGGTTCGAACTTTCTTGAAGTAAGACGCAAGACTCCTTTGCTTCGTTGTTGCAGAGTGTCTTTTCATTTTGCTGCCGCAATCCTGTGCACGCACACAGAAGTGGCCAGTGGCTCCAAAAAGACGTTTGAAACTGCTTCGACTGCCTGGCGTGAACGGCGGGGGATGTTTTCTTCCTCTCTTATCCACTTTACAGTGGCTAGAATGTAGAAGTGTGATGAACGCGCCCGCTCCCGCGTCGCGCATGTGTTTTCTGAACGCAGCTACAGCTGGTGTGCATGCAGGCCCATTATTGTACTCCTGCTGCAGCAAACTGGATTAACGCTACTTAAAGACCTTTTCACAGAAGACTCCATGGGCACTGCATACTCCCCTTTATATACGTGAACCCCCAAGAATGCACTGCGGAGACATTTGCACTCCCGTGGTACAGTCCAGAGGGAGGTGTTGCTCCGTTCCTGTGAAAAAGTCACCTTTTCACAGACGGCTCCCTGGGCGCCTGCTTAATTGTCTCTGGGCTGCGCTAATTAAATAGCCGTGACCCCCCAAAAATGCACTTTGTAGGCTGTGACATCAGCCTCTGTAGTCCCGCGCGCAGCCAAGCTTGACGGCGTTTTTTTTCTCCTGTGAAAGTTGACCGCTGGTGCCGGATTGTGTGCCGGCTGTATCCTCGCTTTGTGCGCTTTGTAGGGAGGCGCATATACCTTCTGTGTACAGAAGAGGTAGATTTCCTTGCGTGTGGTTAAGGTTGTTCGAAGTTGCTCGGATATGCCAGTCTTTCAGTAGATGTTGATTCGTTTCGGTGGCAAGGACTACAGTTTGAGAAAGTTTGCCCTGCAGCCTGCGTCCTCGGAATGCGTCGCTGAGTTTTTCCGCTTAGGGGTTTCATTCCCTGGCAAATTTGCGCACGTCGTGTTGGTGTTGCCGTTGCTGTCGAACTGTTTACCTTCACAGAAGTAGACGCGCTTTTCGTAGGAACCCAAAGCCGACACGTGCGGTCCGCACAGACGGATAACTTCTCCAGCGGCAATGCACAAGGAAAACATCTGGAATCAATAAAGGAGCTGCTATGGTGTGAAAGACGAAAAAAAAAAAAAGACTCGAAGGAATGCCAGGGCGAAGTGCAAAGCTGTACAAATAGGGCAGGTGCGCGTGCGGGGGAGGGAGTGCTGAGGTGTTCTGGTAAAAGGGTAGGTTTGAAGAAAGGAAGAAGAGGGAAGCAATGCCAGGAAAGTTGCAGTGTAACTTTGGCAGCTGGTGGTTGCTGTGAAGGCGTGTAAATATTTTAGTATCACCCGAAAAGGTAAAGCATCAAAAAAATTTCGGGGGGGGGGGGGGGGTCAGAACTCCCTCAACCCCCCCACCCCCCCACCCCCTAATTACGGGCCTGACGTCCAGAATATGACGAGCTGAAAGACGCCAACTATTTGATTTCACGGGCGCGCATCCTATTTAAGACATTGTAATCGAATCTCGAACAACCAATATTTGAGCGCTACACGTGCTGCCCTCGTTTTCATTTAACGATATGTATCCCTTCCTGTCAAGTGCGGCCACTGCCAAGAGTTTCGTTGATTTGGTACCAAACCGCAACTTAGACTCACGCCACCGCTACCGATCGAAGCGCAACCTACGCCGATTAGGCCTAGCTTGCCGTTTGGTATGTTGTCGCGGAAAGGTTGTCCAAAACGTAAGGATTCGGCGTCAAAAATATCCCACTAGCAGTGAACTGAGAAACGCTTGCGCGATACAAAGTTCGCGTTCACGGCCAGGAGATCAGCAACGACGGTCGATGACTCGCCACGCTTACGTACGAGTGAAAGCTCGCGTCATAAAACCGTAAATGGTTTGCAATATACGGACGAGGAAGCAAGCATGATAATTGTTGCAAGCGCGAAAACGACGACAGAAATTGAATGTAGTTGATAAGGACTGGATCAAACGTGCCACGTTTGGCGGCGCGCAGCCGACGCCACGCTAGCGACATAGTACGCTGTATTCGTGTCGTCACTGGTGCAAAGGCTTATCGGTCACCGAGGCAACCGTTCTCCTTCCTTACTCGGCGAGCCCGCGCAGTGCCCACGGTCTTTTTTTTTTCATTTTCTTTTCTTTCTTTCCGCTTTTCATTCGTTCACTCCGTGTCCCCTCCTCTCCCGTAACGACCTCGTCGTTCACTCCCCAGCGCCACTCGCTACCGCGTTTGTTCCAAACAATTTCTGGCATTATAACTGGTCATTCATCTTGGGGGACTGCATAATAAGCAGTATGCGTATACATAAGATTCTATGGGAGGGTAAACTTTAGTAGAAAAAGACCGCATTGTAAGCTGTTCTGCACTATAAACGGTTACGTTGTAAGTGGTGTACACACTATTACGAATTATCGTTTATGACGAAGTAAGTGAAGAATAGCTTTGCGATAAATACAATGATAAGAATACATGTTTGTAACGATTTTTTGGATACAACAAAGTATTTTCGTGGCAGATGCGACTTTGTTATAATAAGGTTTGAGTGTAATTGCTTTCTTACTTCTCTCGTCTCAACAACCGCGGTGAAGTTAGGCTGGCGAAATGGTATGGAAAGAAAAAGTTACATCACGCGTGTGTCATCACCAGGAGCACATTTTTTTTTCTTTTTGTGTCTTTGAATGTGCAGCTTTCTCATAACGCGATTGTGAGCGCGCGCACGAGTATGCGGCTACGTTTCACAGCTGCCAGTGTAACTACACAGCTCGCTATGCTTGTCAGCCAATGGCTTTTAATTTGGGATCCTGGTGCATTAATTTGTGTGTGCGCAAACCTAGATATTCGTGCTCGTACCACTAAATACGGAATACTGAAGATATTGTTAGGCTGAACTCTGTTGTATCAATGTCTAACTGCATTTTGAAAAGAAATTAGAATTGCGACATTTTCTTCATTGAATTCAAGTCCAGTGACTGATACGTCTGCCCTATTCTTGCATCGTTTTGTTCGACTCTCAGATGGCCCTGAACCTGGCAGAAGTGACGGCCGCCTGTGACCTGTCGGATCCAAAGCGCCGCGTCCTGGGGATCTACACAGAGACTTTGAACGAGAAGCGGTCCCACATCAAGCTGGCATTTGGCACTGACAACGAACTGGAAGACTGGGTCTGTGTTACCTCCTACTCCTCTGCCTGAGAGCTATTGCTGGGGGTTTTCGTCCATACAATCGTGATATGACTGTGAGAGATGCCACAGTGGAAAGCTTAGAAAATTTCTAGCGCCTGGGGGGGGTTCTCTAATGCGCACCGAATCGCCAAGCTTCAAGCCTTTTCCCCTCCATCAGAAATGTGGCCAGTGGCTGTGATTCGATTCCACTATGTTCAAGTTAGCATTGGTCACCATAATCAGTTTACCACTGTGGCGTGTTAGTAGCTTGTTCTCTCTTGCTGAAACCTCTTGTTGGAACCTTCAGCATCTACATTTGCCAGAGACCCGCCACGGTAGTCGAGTGGTTGCGGTGCTCGATTGCGGACGCGCAGGTTGCGGAGTCGAATACCGGCCGCGGTGGCCACATTTTGACATAGCCGAAATGCTAGAGGTCCGCGCGCTTAGATTTAAGTCTGCGTTGAGGAACCCCAGGTGGTCGAAATATCCAGAGCCCTCCACTCCGGTGTGTCTCATAATATTAATGTCATTCTGCAACGTAAGTCTGTAACAAATATTGTTTATCATCACACTTACTGGAACTTTGGTGTTATCGAAATGCCATTTTCATTGTATTGCTTGGACACCATAACTGCATTGTTGCTTCTAGCTCAAACGGCTGAGTGTTGTGCTGTTCCATTCACGTGCGTCCAGTGAGCATGCTTTCTTCGTGCAGTATCGATGCTGTGGTGTAGTTATGATGGTAAGCATTGGGATAATAAATTGACAATGCGTTAAGGCAACACTGAGGAGAAGAGCTCACGATGAAGCTTATGCTTTCAGAAGGGTAATCAACAAATTTCTTTGTCAAGAAGACGGTTAGGTTAACGGGACAAAAAAATGCTATTTCTGCTGCACTGTTGTACACTGTGTGTGTAGCGCTCGTCTTCTTCTTGTCCCTTTGTCGTCGTTCTTTTTTTGCGCTATGAAAATCACCATGTCATGCCAACTAGCCCAAACTGCTACGCTACAAAGAGCAAGCTTTAACATTTTGCCATCGTATCTGAGTGCCTTATAAGACAGAACATTGCAAGCCGTCACGCTGTATGTTAAATGCCAGAAGTCGTGGCAACATGGAAGCAAGGCATAGAAAATTTCGACCAGTTACACATTAGGGAGCCTCTGTGGAAGCAAGTGTTGAGCGAATTCCTCAACATTTAGTTGTTGTGTCTCGTTCTTTGTCGTCATTGCAGATAGCAACGCTGAACCTCGTGCCGTTTGGGATGCGGGGCTTGACAGACAACGCCGCTCAACCTGGCGCTGCATGGGGAGTCACAGAACGGGGTCACGTGTTTGTCCACGAAGACGGCGAGCCCAAGACGCCCATCGATGACGTAGCCATGACAGATATGTAAGCAGTCGCAAAAGCTTCATCTTTTCTGAGGCCAACTGGTAATCCAGAGTGGATGGGAGTAGCCTGAATGTATGAAATGTCAATAATAGTTTGAAAGGTGTGCATTGCCAGAAAACAAGTAAAATGGCTTAGAGCGTGCACGCGCGGATAAAATATGAACGGCCTATGACCTGCGTGTGAATTGAAACTTGAGCTACTTGGTACGAATTCATCTCCATTTAGCAGCGCACTGAGAAACCAGGACTAGGAGAAGAAGGTGCACAACATAGTGTACAACAGCGTCCGTGTTGTGCACCTTTTTTACCTGGTCCTCGTCCCTCGGTGCCCTGCGAAATCAAGGTGCCTGTGACCTGGGGATTCTGCATTTCAACTGTTGTCCTGCTGTTGCCGCACGTAGACAAATAATGCAGTTGATGCATGCACCAAATAAATCTCTATTGCTTCGTGTTAGGGTGAAAGTTGACTGAGGAGCAGCTATTGAATGATTGCGAATTTTCCAGGAAATGGTAGTTTTTGAACTCTTGACATAATTAAACTCAAACTTCAATATAACAGAGAAAGGTATCATGAATTATAGGTTATAATAAAATATATTAAGAATCTTCTTGTAGTAGGTGCAGTGCTGCAAATATAATTTTGTAACAAGTTTTTGTATATAACAAAGTTATTTTTGCGTCAGATGTGGTTTTGCTATAACGAGGCTTGTCTGTAGTAACTGCCCTTGAAGCCAACATGAAGGGTGAGGTGTGTGCTACTTGCCATTGAAAACTTACTGCACCGGTAAAATGGGAATCATGGTAGCTCAAATATTTGCATACTCTGATGTCTTCTAATTGTTGCTGTTTTTGTCGGGTGCTCAAAGGTCCATTTACCATCTCGTGTTTCTTTTTGCCTTTTCATGATCCAGTCACTGGCGTCACTTGGGTGGTGGCCACTTCCAGGTGGTCGAGTCCTGTCCGGCAGGTGTCACGTGGGCACTGGGCAACGACAAGACGGCGTGGGCCTACACGGGCGGCTATGGAGGCGGTGTGTTCAAAGGTACGTCCCATTAAGGGTTCCTGGTCACGAGGTTGCTGCACGTTTTATATATGTCTGCGTCCATGCTTTCTTCTACATACGGTAATTAACATCTTTGCGGTGCCAGATACTTTTTAATGTTTGAATATTTCTATTCCTATATACGTGAGCAATTCGTTAGCACACCTTCTAGTCCTCTGTGTGATAGCAAGTTTGTTTTGCTAGATAGAACAGCACTTCAGAGTCTCTTGTCTGGGAGAGTACACGTGGTCTGTGTTGTGGTTTTTCCCGCTTCAAAATGTAGCGCTGGCTGGTGTTTCTTTTGCGGTTTTCATTTGCTTTAATAAGGTGGCATGGATGTGATAGTCTTTTTTTATTTCTCTTTCATACATTTAATAAGCGTTAGTTGTGAATCAGCGCTGCAGTGTGTCCTTCTTTTTTATCTGTGTCATTGTTGCGCAGTGTCAAAAATTTTGAAGTACAGTCACCAACCAGCCCAGCTTTCGGTCCTTCCCACTACACCCACTGCAGGGCAAAGGTCTCACCCTCGTTTCGTCAATGGACCCAGTCCTGCGCTTCCTGTGGCCACTTTATTCCCGCAAAACTTCAGAAATTCTTGCCCACCTAACATCCTGCCTCCCCCTCATGTGCTTTCCCTCTCTTTTTCTCTTAGCCCTCTCGGTGTCAGTGACATACTAACACATTTTCGCATTTCCCTGTCACAGTCCCACTGATTTGCAGGTACCTTCTCCATTGCGCGTTGAAAAATTTGCATTGAGGTGCAAAGCTGGCATGTTTAGTGTGATTCTACTGGTTGCAGCATCTGTAGAATCTTCCAAGGGGTAGATAATGTTACGTAAGTGTGGGTGCCAGTGCCAACTAGAGGACGCTTCTAGCCATAGAAGAGGTTGAAGTGTCTCGGGCTCAGAACCCATTGTGTCGCACTTTCCTTAGGATGTCTGCAACTTCAACTGCAACTTTACGCGTGTCAATATTTCCCCCCTTGCTGTATTGATATGATTATTGAAGAGTACAAAGCGACTGCACCCACCCTTCTTCACTGGAGGGCATGATGTTATCACGGGCGCTACTCTCTTGGGCTGAGCATCTAGGGGTGCATGTGCAGCAACAAGTGCAAGGGTCATTCTGCCATCTGCCACTACTTTTACAGGGGTTTATTTTTCTTGTGTGTATTCTGTTGGCATTCCTGTTTACAGCGCGTCAAGTTCTGGGATGCGCGTCGTCACCTTTTCAGTAGGCCAAAAGCATGACTCGACTACTTCTTTCGTTTGCTTGCTGCGGCCTCACTTGCCGCTATCAGCAATATATGAGGTTGTTGTATTCCCATTCCGTCCCCAACTGTCACATTGTCTTCACAATGTGCTGTTCGCGGGTTCGAATCCCGGCTGCAGCGGCTGCATTTCCGATGGAGGCGGAAATGTTGTAGGCCCGTGTGCTCAGATCTGGGTGCACGTTGAAGAACCCCAGGTGGTCAAAATTTCTGGAGCCCTCCACTACGGCATCTTTCATAATCATATGGTGGTTTTGGGACGTTAAACCCCACATATGATATCATATCACAATGTGCTGTTGCTCTACGTTTCAAGCTTACCCGGTATTCCTGAAACCAAGCTGACACTAGAGTTGAAACAGGAACACCAGATAGTGAAAGGGCCGATGACCAGCGGTCATTTTGCCTTTGCACTGCATGCCCTGCCCTTGCCCGTTTTTTATTCTTGATTTCGATTGATATGTCCTTGACACTTGTTCCTTCCCTACCTGTTTCGTTCCCTAAGCTTGGTATCACCGTTATTAACAACGGCGTTTCCTCATTGCCATCACGGTACGCAGGCATGACGGGCCACAACGTTCGGGTGGGACCCATGTCGGACACCAAGTGCGTGTACATCTACGAGAATCAGCGCTGGAACCCCATATCGGGTTTTGCGCCCCGCGGCCTGCTCACTGACCGCTACATGTGGAGTGATGCCTCGGGTCTCGTCGAGTGCACCAAGGAGGGTACCAAGCTTGACTCCGTCCACTGGCACTGGGTGAGCAGACTGGCCCTTGGTTTTGCACTCTATTGAACTTTGTATTCTATTCTATTGGCCTTGTATATATACTAAAACCCCGATATAACAAACCCGGATATAATGAAATATTGGTTGTAACGAAGTAAGTGAAGACTGGCCTTGCACTAGATATAGTGTTAGGAACATACATTTATAACAAATTTTCGGATATAGTGAACTTATTTTCGAGTAAGATTCAACTTTGTTATAAAGAGGTTCGAGTGTACTATAAACTCCAAAGCAAATGTAGCTGCCTGAGCAAGTGCCTCCTTCCCTTCTTTTGGGAGATTTAAAATATGTGACTAATTCTCCCCTCTCCGTTTTCACCGTTTTATTCACTGTTTTTATTTGCTTAACGAGAACGAATGAGAACAGCGAATGCATGCATATTCAGTAAAGCATTTAACGCTTTACTGCCTGATGTCGTGAACTCGTGACATACCGAAAAACTTCGAGCAAGAAAGTCACGAAATGCGTGCCCGCCTTTAATGGTGGCTGTCAAGTACTCGCAGGGACGTAGCTTTCAGCATAAAAAACCTAGCGCTATCCTGTGTAATGTATTTTATGCTAGAATCGTTTGGTTTGTAGCTGATGGCGGAGAGTGCGAAGCGCATGCAAGAGCGCTCACTTCGTTGTTTCTCGCCTGGCAGGCCCAAGTTTCATCTTCAATAATTGTGTTCATTTGGAGTGTGTGCACTCGTGACATGGCACACAGCATGTTGCGTAATTCTAAAGTACGTCTTTTATTGCAAGGTCCTTGCTTCTGTGGCATGTGGATAATTTGTGACATATGTAAAAGTACACACTAAAGGTGCATCCTAGACAATTTAACTGTGGAATCTTTTAAAAGTTGCTATTTAAAGCTAAAAAATGATGCGACATATATAAAAGTTTGCATTAAAGGTAATTTTTAAACACCTTAAGTGTGGAATTATTTAAAAGGTCGCTATTTAAAGCTGAAAAATGAAAACAATTTTTGTTTTCTTTGGCAGCTTCGTATTCAGGCAACAAAAGGGTAATTAGGATTGCGTGGGTATTCTTTATCCTTCGTGACTTTTCCGCCGCAGTCTTGAATTTGAATGCACGAGAGAGCAATGGCCCGCTTATAAACCTCGTCGAATTATCCTTCATCATAAGGGGGAGCGCTTTCTCGGGATTTTGCGGTAGTGTTACACCGCGAGATCCCGCTACAGCAAAGATGACGGAAAGCGTGATTAAATTCGTCGAAGTGGAAGTACCCGGAAAAAGGTATTCATCGTAAAGATACATTTTTTGCATTCTTTTCTGCGGGCAGCTATTGTGAATTGAAAGCTTTTCGTTGTGGAGGGTATTTCATTGTGGCGAAGTTTTTTATAGCGGGGTTGCCTGTTTGTTCAACAAGTCGAGTGTAAGTGCTAAAACTGAAGCCTTCTCCCGCCATGTACTCGGTTGACTCGGTCCAGCTCCTGTGTCAGTTTCTTCCCAAGTAAGAGAGGATCAGGATGCACAAAAGGTTGACAGCCATCTGGTGGGAAGTTGCAGTTCAAAGCCGCAATATCGTGATGCAAAGCAAGCTTTCCATCCTACTCTACCGGTGGTTCTGTGTTCTACACTTTGGAACCAGTGGAACAAGCGATCCAGAAGAGGTCTGTGGAACCTAGCAACTACCGAGGCTACCTTCCTCAATTCATTCGAGGTGTCCTAATTAACCGTAGCAGGTGACATTGCATTTAACTAACATCTATTACAATGTGGCACATTGAATCTTGCTCAGGACTCGAATTATACTAGCAATGGACTGTAGCCTCCACGTGAGGAGGTTAAGGTGCAGAGGTCACGTGAGGAGATTCATTGAGGAGGTCACGTGACCTTCTCATGTGAAGAGATTTCATGTGAAGAGGTAATAATGGAGCGGCACATGAAGTGCTGCCCCGTCGTGAGCTGAACTTCGCGTTCTCGTTCGCGACAGACCAATGCGAGTCCGAGCGGCTCAATTCCTGGCACCGAGCCACAAAATGTCTCGTGACTACGTGCAGTTCCTTTTCCTGGGCCTTTTCTGGTGGTGTTGAATAAAACCTCTTCTAAAAAAATACCTATCGTAGTGTGTCGAATTACTGGCAGCTTGTTGAAGCTCGTCTTCCGGGGATATAGTTCTCTTGTTGTTAATGGTTGTCAATATAATGTTGCAGGACAGCAGTGTGCAAAGTTGGCATGAGGAGAGTACAATGGCTTGCAACATTTACAAATGGAGGCTTGTTACTGATACTGAAACAAGGAAAGGGTAGACATGTTGGTTGGCTTTGGGTTCCACCAGCGAGTCGCTTCCTGGACAGGATAAGGAATCCTGGTCGATGTAAGGTCATTTTGTGTGTTGATTGAAATTGTTCTCACGACTGTGCTTTGTAATAGTCGTCTCTTTTTTTTTTGCTCTCTCGTTATCAGTCGACACAACCCTCGTTACTTAATTTTTGTCAATGTTGGCCACTGTGCTGTGTAGAGAAATAAAATGCTTGACCACTGCTCTCCTTGGACATAAGAATTGAAAATCGCGAACTATTTCTCTCTGTGAATGTGGAAGACCGGTAAAGCTCTGTAGCCCGTGGTGCAGAGGTGAGATGTTTTGTTAATTAAAGGCACCGAAAGTCCCTTCTGTGTGGGCCAGAAGGGGAGCACAGCTTAATTATTTGTTTATTCGTTTAGTTTATATACTTGTTTTTTTTTTCTTTTTTTGCATTTGTTCTAGTGGATCATTGGGAAGAAGTGGAGTTTGCCCCAATAGACCTTTTTCATAATTGTTAACCTAGCTTTCATGCTGCGCAGCTAGCCGCTTACCCCAAACAGCGTGTTCAAGCGAAATTCGGTTGTGCTGCAACGCCAGAAATGTAGTCTCTGCTATGTTGAGATAAGCACGCACAACAGCACGTGCAACTGGCCCGCTTCCACCTAAAGCACTACATGTGTCGCCGTTAGTAGGGCGAATATGCGAAGCAGGAAAGAGCACTTGCGGATTACTATCATTGATCCATTACTGGGGGCCGAGTGTCGCGAACTTGGGACATGCCGAAAAATTTCGAGCGAGCAAGTCACGAAATGCGTGCCATCTTTAATGCCAGCTGCTGAGTGCTCATGGGGAATGTAGCTGTCAGCGTCAAAAATCTAGCCCCATCTTGTATAAGGTATCTTATGCTAGAACCAGTTGTGTTGTAGCTGATGGCGGCGTGCACGGAGCGCATGCCACGACTCTCACTTTGTTGTTTCTCACCTGGGTGGCATAAGTTCCATCTTCAATATTGTTTATTTGGTGTTTGCGCAACCGAGAGCTGGCACACGACACGTTACGTAGCTCTGAGGTACGTTGTTTGTAGCAAGGTCCTCGCTTCTGCGGCATATGGAGAATCCGTAACGTACATAGCAGTATGCATTAAAGTTGCATTTTCATTGTTTCAACTGTGGAATCATTTAAAGGCTGCTATTTAAAGGTGGGAAACGAAGAAATTTTCATTTTGCTCGGCGGTTTCGTAATTCAGGCATTAAAGTGTTAAATTGGCCTACATGTTTGTGTGGCGCATATCTGAGCTGGGAGTTCTCGTTGGCATGCTTGCCATTTGCAGGTTTACCATTTGCACTGGCAAATCCTTGGGCTCCAGGAAGCTGTTCCTAAACAATTCCAGAAAGTGAAAAATTATCGACAGAATGTTTTCAGTTATAAATGTTATCAACAATGTTTATTGCTATTGAATTTGCTATTGAATTTAGTTTGGATTGATAAATTGAACTCCTAAAGCTTCAATGTGGTTATTTTCGTGATCATAGGTTTCAAGTGTAAGAGGAAATTTAGTTCAGGATTTCACTTTTGAAGTTCCCGCCGAAATCTCCGCTCATTAGGTCACACATTTCAAAGTATTTTTTATATTGCAGCGGCATTTCTAATGAAACATCCCAAAACCTTGGATGTTAAGTCTGGGGCATCATCAGGGGACAATGTACTTAATTTTTGACAATTAGGAGCTACGTAGGGCAGAGTAGACACCATAAAAATCTGTGGCATCACGACATTCGGTGTGAGAATTACAAGGTGGAGTTGCCTCTGCATTTTCGTTTTGCATGTTTCCTCGCGCACCGTACAATCTTCATCTTTCTGCATTAAGCATGGTGACCTAATATAAGAGAGCTCGTTCTCTCTTTAGTTCTTTTTTTCTTTTTAGCGCATTAAACATAAACCCAGCCCAACTTATGAAGTTGAATAGATTTTGCATTATAGCACGATAACATTAAAAGCCTTATTGTGGAAATATATAAACGCACAAGGTAGAAGGAAAAGCACTGGATAGGAAAGGCGCTCACTTACAACTGAACTCTTATTCGAAAACATTCATTGCACGAGAACACTAACGCGCAGGCGCAACCAACTATCACTTCAAGGTTCCACCCCCTCCCCTCTCCCCAAAAAAAGAAGGTATACGTAGATTTTCCTTCTACCTTGTGCGCTCGTATATTTTCACATTATGTTTTACCAACTGGCCCACCATTCCACTTTATTGAACTTTATTAAAAACCTTATTGAATTCCGGTGCCAGTGTTGTTGCCGTCGATGTTGGCGTCGGCATCACTGGTTGTGAGAGGAAAATCATCATCTTTGTCCGTGACCGAAAAATCTGGGAAAGATGCAAATAAAATGAATAATAAAAACTTCCTAGTCCGAGTGAGAGTTGAGCCCTGGCCGTTTGAGTGGCAAGGAGGCGTTCTACCACACAGCCACATGTGTTCTTGGAAGTAGGGAAAATAACTTCCTCTGCTTGGAGGTGTGCGGCTGCTGGCCCGAAGGATGCGGGTTCGATCCCGTGCGCGGCGGTCGCATTTCGATGGAGGCGAAACGGTAGAGGCCCGTGTACTGTGCGATGCGAGTGCACGCTGAGAAACACCAGAGGGTCGAAATTTCCGGAGCCCTCCACTACAACGTCTGTCATAATCATATTGTGGGTTTGGGACTCAAAACCCCC